CCCCAATAAGGCTGATAGAGGCGGATATCCAGGCCCAATGGCTTGCGGTTCCTCGAAGCTGCCGGCTGGAATGTGGCCTTAAAGCCTGTGATCGACGACCAGTAGAACGAGACTTCATGGTTAATATGAAGTTGAACTACCTACATGTCCAATTCCTTCTAAGACTTGCATTAGTCCGCCCTATGTCTACGGAGCCCGACTCGGAGTTGCTCGAGATTTCCTTGAAGATGCTGGGCCTTGTTGTAGAAACCATTCTACTCAAAGACCAGATAGTGAACTCTGGTACATCGCTCGTATGGAAGGTGGGTTACGTTTGCATCAAAACTTGCAATGTCCTGTCTAATGAGAACGATTTCGAAGGTCGCATACTACGGCTTGTCCGCTGCGGGAATGATATGCCTAACTCTTGTCAAGCGCTCATTTGCCATCCAGAGCTTTACAACAAGCTTTTCGAAGATATTCCAAGAACTAAGCATCCTTGCCGCAGAAATCGAACGCGGAACTTTAGTATATATAGACTCACCCAACTATGCCTTGCTAGCTCGCGCGACCCAAACCATAAAGGCTATCCTGGATCGGATGATGACGCCTTCCTTGGACAATACGATGGTCGCTTCAGATAACCGAATTGAACATCCGACTGCCTCCGAGCAAAGGGAAACTCTAGATGACGGATCCTGGTGGTTATGGGACAATACCAACCTCCAAGAATTTGAGCTCAGTTTCTGGCACAATCTTGCTGGCCACCCGTCGCTAAACCAATAAAACACACTTCCATACTGATAGTACTTTGATTATGATCAGCTATGCATTGGTTTCGCGTCAGCTCGTAGGGCTTAGTTATGGTGAGCTGTATTCACCAACAAAATGACGTGGATGTCACACATGGTAGAATTTTAATGAAGAGTACGACATCGGTTCCTTGTCTGCAGATTGCATTGGCAGATTCTACTGCCACTAAATGGTTAACTAGGGGCCTTGATACTAGTTTACTGGCCTTTGTCTATTGCACAGGTACCACAGCTCGCTGCTGTGCATTAATTTACACATTAGGGTATCCTGGCATGTATAACTTGATCATTGTGGGAAGCGGAGGTTTACTATTCGATCTGAAGATAGCCCTCAGTCTTCCGATACCTTGTTGTAATATATGAGGTTATAACTATTCTATCTATTTGATCATTACTCGCCTAACATTGATCATATCTTTCAAAACATCCAGTTTCTGACTGCTTTGAAGAAAGCCAACGACCATGTCACACACCTTAGCTGACCATTGTTCGGACATCCCTCGGAGACATGCAAGCCGCGATCATCAACGTTATCTTCCCGCTGGTATCGGTCTGTTTCCAAGTCAATCTCACCGAGAGGAACAAGCTTGGTTTTCTTGTAAAGCTTCCAAATCAAGAATAGGGAGCCCATGATTGGGATCTCAATATAGTATGATACAAACCCAGCGGCATCGAATCTTGGACTAAAGGATTTCCAGCCCTGTATGAGTACCAGAAAGAGATTCAACCCGGCTGCGAGCGCCGGGCCCCACGGGTACGTGACATTTTTGAAAGGTAGCAGGTGTTCGAGGCTTTGATGTCGGACGGCGGACCGGAAACGCAGCGAAGTCAGGCAGATGAAGAACCATGATATCTGGTTTGACACCCCCACCAGATTCTGCAGCCACGACCAGACCTGACCGGCACCAATCTTACTTGCCCCGAAGCAGAGAGCACTGATAGCTGCGGTCGAAAGGACTGACACCCATGGGACATTGAATCGGTTAAGGTGGCCCAAGAAACGAGAACCGGGAATGTGACCGCTAATGGCAAGGGTGTAGAGAAGGCGTGCGCCGGCGAAGAGGGCGTGATTGGCAGCAGATATTGCACTAGTCATGATTACAGCATTTATAAAGCTGCCCGCCACGGTACTGCCGGCTTTGTCGAAGACAATAGTGAAAGGGCTGGTGGAAGCACTCTGTGTCGATAAGCCAGGATAGTTGTAAGGAATATCGAGACCGATGATGATGATAGATACGACGTAGAAGAGAAGAATGCGCCAGAAGACATTGCGGATGACACGAGGATAGGTCTGAGATGGATCCCGTGTCTCGCCAGCTGTAACGGCCACATTTTCGGTTCCGCCACTAATACTTAAAATCAGCGATCATGATCCAAATTTGCTTGGGCCATGCATGTGAGTGTTACTAAGCGAAGGAAGCTGTCACAAAAACGGAAGCGAAGCCTCCAATCCCCCCGACAAAGGGCGCGTCCCCGGTGTAGAAGTATTTAGCGCCCAGGTATGTTTGATCAGTATTAGCGCCACAGTTCACAGCAATCCCAACAATGATGAAGACCTGAATGATATAAGATGGAGGCACGGATGTAAATGAGGGCTTGCGCACATACAATGATGGTCACGACTTTCAGTAATGACAGCCAGTATTCGATCTGGAGGGATGATTAATAGGATGTCACATCTCACTCTTCGTTATCACCAAGATACCTCTCCAAAGACCCTGACTGAGCAGGTATTCAGGGTCAGAACAAGCGCAAGGCAAATGAGGCTTAAGCCCCAGCCAGGGAAATGCTTCGTCCAATATTCCAGCAAGACTTGCAATGCTATAATGTCTGAAGCTGTGGAGACGGCGTCATTTGCCCAGTAATTCCACGTTAAGGCGAATCCAAGCGCATCATCGACGAAACGCCTGGTCAATGTCAGCAAGAAAACCCAGAGCGACGCTTTCATTGATGCTCGGCATACCCTGAAAAGGTGCAAAACGAGCCTGCAACAGGCATGAATGCTACCATCTCTCCCAAAGAGAGCATGGTGAGGAAAACAATGCCACCGCAAATGGTATATGCCAACAGTATCGACGCGGGTCCTCCAGTTGCCAGCGCCTCGCCTGTTCCCAAGTATAGCCCTGTTCCTATAGTACCCCCAATGGCAATCATCTGAACTTGTCTAGGGGACAATTTTCGAACGAGTCGATTCGGTCTAATATCCTCTAATTCTCCATCCATCGGACCAGCTGGAGGGAGTGGTCTCGGCGTACTGCCGGGTTGCAGCTTTTCGGCGTCGAAAAATGACATTTTGGTGGGCGAAAGCAGCGGTGCTCTTAGAAATTCATATACTGCTGGTCAACGGGCGTTGCTTTGTATATATGTTACCGGATGTGAGGATGCATTCAATACTGAATGATTGCCACTGTTGGAAGCTGTGGGTCTATCAACCCCCGCTAGCCAGTCGGCGGGAGGACAAATGAGCAATCCAACCTTCCTGCTGTCGTCATTCGACACTCCGAAGCCTAGGGTCAATGGGGTTAGCTGATATTCTAACCCGTGGCCGCTAAATGCAGCATTTCCTTGACGTATTGCCAACTTGCATGCTATCGAGGTGAGCGCTAACCATGTGTATATTTTAACCGTACTACAAAGCTTCCTACATTGGCAGGTGATTATCAATATAGAATCGAACATGACCGTATAATGGGAGTTTGGGTGTTCACACAAATTGAAACTAGATGTATATAAATGTCTTCCATAATCACATACAGGTCGGCTTTCATGCCTGCTCGTGTTCTTCGTTACTACCTATTCTACTAGTATTAACATTACCTCAACCGTGACTGCGCCCAACAAAGTATTATAGCCATCAATATGCTTCCTTATGCTCCCTATGTTACGAAACTTAAAAAGTTTTTACCTGCTACTTATACCTAGAGCTGCTTTCGAATCTTCGTAGATGGCTGGTTTCCTTGAAGATTTCCAGGGAATCCCAGAGCCTTCGTATTACAACACTTCCAAGCTATTTAGCAAAGACCAGATGCATAGTCAAAGATATAATGAACAACTAGCCATTAACATTTTAGGCATGCGGGGATCGCAAAGAAATGATGCATGATGAGGCAATCAATTCTGATTGGCTTTTTCAAAGATAAAGGATATGTCTAAAGCGAGGTATCTGATACTTAGATAAATGGTACCTAGATTGCTGAGTATGATCCTCTTCCTACATGCTTAGGTCGACGCTAGGGAGAAGTCATCGCGTGTCACATTATTAGTTTGGAAGAAATAGATTCAAGCTATGCTGTCAGTATAAATCGGATTGTTCGGGGTAGTCTAGCAGTAGGAAAATTTATGTGTGGGTTTTATTGGAGTATTAAACGTCTAGTAACATTTAGGGAGATTCCCCGTAATATTTTCTGTCGAGATCCCGGGGATATCGTTTGAAAGCCCAAGATCGAAAAGGCTTACTCCGAGAAGAAAACGGTACATGGTTCAGATGTGGCAAACAAACATCTGACTGGGTGTTTTGCCAGTCTAAATGAAGATACTGTCATTGTGGTAACATACTGTCATCAGTCCGGGCGGGCTTCAATGGTCATCTACGATGGCCCCTAAAGATGAGGACCACCGCAAAATCTAGTTACCCAGCACTGTCATAATTGGATTAACTAGTGATATCTATTGGATTTCTGCAATTGCATCATGTTTACATTAGACTGACCCAGTATTAAGTCTTAGTGCTGAATCTGTTCTTTAAGGGATAACTAGCACGCTCTGCGTATTACTGTAGGCGGATGCATTTATAGTACATCCCCCAGTGCAGTCTCTCGACCTGAAACAATTGACTGGTACCTGGACACCTAACATTTGGTCTGACACATTAATTGAGTCATCAACTACAAACGTAGTGGAGCTTTAAGTATCAAATAGGAAGGCACATATCTTGGAAGAATTCGATCGGAGTGCCTTGGACGTTCATTGACAGAAACAATCAGAGTATACAAGTCAATAAGTAGCCAGTACAGAGCTGTAGTGGTCTAAATTGCGCACCCACAGTGTGCTCAATACCCGAGGATCATCTTCGGGGATGCGCAGATGCAGCCACAAGAGACTAACCACTAATCGGGACTAGGGGTCGGCTAGTTCTCCGATATTGTCGAGGGAATTGAAAGGGGCGGCCAAGCACCCTTGGTCCAGAATCGCCTCTTATACCATGTTCCATGCTCCTTTCCTTTCCCCTCGGTCATTTAATTCCACTCTTCCGAAGGACCATTGTTTTCTATGATTTGAACTCTTCTGCCTCTTGATCAAACCCATCCACTCCCATTGGGTTGCAAAAGTCCAAAGTCTTCAGTCTAATGTAAGTCCTCTATCTGCGAGGCAGACATTTAAGAAAAGGCCTATTCTAACGGTTTACGAAGACAGCAAGATGATTGTGACGCGCGGAATATCATTGACAAACTTTGTCGTGGCATCGTCGGCACTCGCATTCCAAGTTTTTGTTCTGTATCCATGGCACAAGCAGCTCGATGAAGGATTTGAGGCCCTTAAGAAAGAGCACCTCCGAGTCTTAAAGTCTCTCGAACAGCTACAGCATGACAGCCGGAAGCAGCTTGACGGACGATTGGCTTAAGATATTGATGGATCACTACGGCGAGATTTGGCGATAGAATAGACGGATAGGGTTAATCAAACGCGACATAGACACGGCCTCCTTCTCGATAGTAATGTCGGATTGCATGAGCCAGCGGAAGGTATTACTGGGGATAATGTACAGGGGTCTTACAATGAGCTTATCGAGATTCTTGTACATTCCAGATTTGAAACAGCGATGTATTACTGCCTTGAAAGTCGAGAGCCTGTAACATTAAGCCACTCTCTTAAGTTGATGGTCGAGCGACGCAAGCTATGTGTAAATTGAACTACGATGCGTCATTATTCGAGGAAATGACCGCCGCAGAAATTGAAGGTATTTTGGTTCGCATATGGCCGCTATGATCGGAGCGAACTCCGGTCCCGTCGGTGTTGGTTTAAAGATACACACATAGCCCCCCTTGGGTAACGGGATAGGCGTAAGGTAGAAATTCATTATTATCTCATAATAAGGCAGGCATTGATATTGCTCCCATCATTGGTCAATGTGGGTCTTTCCAGTGTATTTCAATACGAACCCCTTCTGAATAATCTGGCCGGAGATCGTTCGTATCAGTCGGATCCGACTGATAAGAAACCTGGAGTCAATCATTGCCCCAATGGACAACAATCAAGAATAGGTCCTTGCTACCAGTAGGCTCTTACACACTTCCCCTTTCCCTTCGTTAACAACATTTTCCCGGCTTTCCAACACGCCGGCTAACTAATTACTATTTCTACTGTGTGACTTGTGAGCTGCGATTGTCAATATTCATGCCACAGGCATTATTTCCCAAGCGTCGGGAATCTAAAAGGTTCGCCACCCAGACAGTCAAGTCTTACTCATCGGAGAGTGCAGATATATGCATAATAAACACTTTGTCTTTTTCATCACCTGTCTTACCGAGGGACCATCATTGGGATCCTCGCAGAGGAAATGGGACCATCTGCCGAAACTGGAGCCCTAACCAAATTGCAGAGTCAACGAGCTACTTGGGAAACGGAAGTTGCGGCACTGCTGGTGCGAGGAACCACCACAAAGTTGACAGGCTTGGGGCAAGACCATGATTGCAGTTGTTGCTGTATATGATCGCAATATACATGCCCATTACAGGCATTCTGGAGAGGTCGGCTGAAACCAGTTGTCCGGTAATTACGATCGAATGTTTCGCCAAAGTCTGCCCCTTTCTGACAAGTATATGTTTTCCGTGCCTTGGGGTAGCCGAGCAACGCCCTGCGAAGGAAATTATGCCTGCCATTAAGGATGTGCCAGGGGTATAGTACCATGACCGCTTTTGCACATGGATCGGACCAGCGTTCAGTCAACATTCTGGCACTGTTATACGCGCATGCATCATAGACAGGTCTCAGCTTTTCTACAGTGATAACGCCCGTCGCATATATCTGCTGTATTTAACAGTGCGTTGAGTAGCTCTGAGTTGAGGATATCGGATCCGACATCCACAATGTCTGTTAACGGAACACTCTGCATCAAGTCATGTGCTGTAGCGGCACAATCAAAGCCGCGTGCTATCGCCTCAACGCCACACGGCCAGATAGAACTCTCGCATATCCATAAAGGTAGCGCCTGGTCACGATTGACGCGTGCCACTTTCCCCGAAAGTTGTGTGACGTATTGCTCCTCTAGTGATGTCTTTTCTCTCATGTATCGCAGGGCCAAATCCGCGGCGGTCCTTCGATCTCTGCCGCCTGGCGTAACTAGCGCATGGGTGTCATGAATCGCCTGTTCGAGGGTCTTGACAAAGTCGGGAAACACCAGGTGATAGGCATGCTCCCAACAGAAGATCATGTCAGCACAGTAACTTGAGTAGAGTGTGTGGGCATCGTGGGCTCCACACAGCATATTGAACAGGCCACTTCCGAAGAGTGCAGCTCGGGTTAAGAGCGGCTCAGGCCAATCCCGTGGATTCAGCAGTTCGACCACCTTCTCTGGCACACGTGCCAGTCCGTTGCCTTTGGATAGTAATATCCATCCATTATGTCGTTGATCAATCTGCCATTGCTGCAGCTCTGGCAATAACTTGAGATTGACTACCGAACAATGAGTAATATTCAACGTTGAGGATTCATTTATTGCCTCAAACATAGACCTGAGCTTCTGCAGGCCGCTGCCAACCATTCTTTCAAGTCGAGGAATGGATCAATCACCCATTAGGTTCCGACATTCTTCATATCCGGCCACCGGAAGAGGTTTGGACACAGAGGTATTGCCCCAGAAATAAGGTGGGGTTTGCTTGACAGCTTGGGTGGGCTGCATCGTGTTCTTTGAAAAGATATATTTGATCATATTTTGCTCGGATTAGCTTAAAGGAGTCAATTGAATACGAAGTGTTGGATCCACCTAGAGCTGAGGGGAGGTAGTGAGTGATGGTTCAGTAAATGCCATGCTGCGCTTGCTGTTTATATGTGTTTATAGACTGGCGCTGACAAGTGTGACTTTGATGAACATTATTGAATTGCTAGGGTTCCAAGGAAAATGATAGTAACTACATCTAATCTGCTGGCCGCGTAAGACCCTGTTTTTAATAACTACTGATGTAATATTACCCGATCAGGAAACAATGGGTTGCATGAATCCGATTCTGACGCAAGGGACTGAAGATCAGACGGCCTTACCTGGTTACACACACATTGAGACCCATACTACACCTCCCACAATTTGCTCTTGCCCCTCCAATGATTTATTGGATAGAGTGTGACAATCTAACATATGCTCTGGTCAGTAGCCAGTGATGTAACTGAGTGATTAACGTCTCCTGTGCTACGCAGTATCGGTGCCCGTTTCTATTGATAAGGTCATAATCTGCAAATCGGTTGCTACTGCCAACGAACCAATCGTAGTTGTTGCTTAAATGCAACGTACCCAAATCTGTAATGAGCATTGCCCATAATCGTATGAGAACATAGTCATCTCAACCTAGTATTTCACCCGCGCTTTGAATATCCCTATCACACCACCAAGTCTACCTAAGTGTGGGGAGTACATATGATTAGCGTCATTGATCTGTCCAGATAGGTGGTTGTTTTTGCTCTAAGAAAATGCCGCAGCCTCGACATACATCAAAGTTCGATTGGATGCCTTTTGAAAAGGGACACTCATTTCATGTCCTTTCTTGTTCTCAAATACACTGGCAGCGGAGTCTTAACCCAGACAGCATATGTCTCCTGATCCTCCCAGCGTCCGAGGGTCTCCTCTGGCTGCACGTCAAAGTGATACAAAATTTTGCCCAGAATGAGGACGATCTCCATGCGGGCCAAATTCTGACCAATACAGTCCCGCGGGCCTTGTAGAAACGGCTGCGTAGCATGTCGCCGGTCCTTTTCAAAAGGGTCATCTTGCGGAGATAAAGCCTGCGGGCGCGAGTTGAGCCAGCGCTCAAGGTGGAAGGCCTGAGGGTCGGTATAGTTCTGTGGGGAGACATTGGCAGCCCATTGCATGTAGGAGACAACAGTCTGTAATTCATCGTTAGCTTCTATGAGTCTGTTATCTCATGTCCCCGCTCCGGGCTAAATTAGACACGCAAGTAATGAGAAAAGTGCAGACAAAAGTGACTTACTCCCTCTGGGAAATATTCCCCGTTGATGGTATGGCCCCCAATGGGAACCAGTCGAGTCAACCCCAGGGGCACGGGGGAGGTGAGACGGATGCCTTCCTTGATCGCTGCTTCTAGTATGGGCAGCCTGAGCAGGGTGGACACATTTATCTGGTCGGCAGAGAGAAATGCACTGCGCACCTCGCTCGTCACGCGATCCATTATTGTTGGATTCCGAAGGAGGTGAAATAGAATACCAGTGATGGCGGTTTGAAGGGTGTGGCTCCCAGCAACGATGAGAGTTGCGGCGTTCACTACCATCTCCCCTTCGGAAATTTCCCGGCGGGATTGCTGCTGCACAAGATGTGCTAGGAAATCCGGCCTAGTAACCCCTGCGGCATCATTGCCTTCAGCACTGGCATCGCTGTCCAGCTGCTGTAACCGGCGCTTCACCTTTTCCTTGGTTGTGGCTTGGTGCTGGGCCATGAGGACACCCGCAGACTTGGGTAGGCGCTTGACAAGGTAGTTGAACAACCAGGGATAGAAGCGGCAGGAGGCTAGCTGGACTTTGGCTTTGAGCGAGTAGACGAGTTGGCCCACCCATTCGTGGTAGCGTTGATTGTCCAAACAGGCGAAATCTTCGCCGAAGCTTAATTTGCAGACGATATCAAAGGTGCAGAAGCTGATCCACTCTTGTAGATCAACCTTCTTTGTAGCTAGTTCGCTCTGGGACTGCATTTGGGTGATCATCTTGTCGACGTAGCTGGCAACGAGCGGCTCCTGGGCGCTTAAGGCCTGGCTGCTGAAGGCGGCCGCATAGGCCTTGCGGAGTCGTGTGTGGTCAGAATCGCCCGCATCGAGGATGCTAATGGGCTGCCCTGGCCTTGGAGGTGCCTGGCGGATGGGATCTTTAGGAAGTGACTTGAAACCGCCGCCGCTCGGTCTGCGCTGATAGATGTCTTTGACAGTGTCGGGGTTGATGAAGGACACCTCATTCGGGGCAACGCGGACGGTCTCGCCATAAACGTCGTGAAAAGACTTTATTTTATGTGCTAACTTGCCATTCCGGAATGCCAGCATATACGGCACACGGGTTAATGCCCAAAGAAGCGGTCCATTGTACCGAGATAGCGGGTGGAAGTAAAGCCGCTTCAGGGCCAAGAGGATGGGAAGCTAGAAGGCGTGGGTCAGAGAAGGGGACACTTTTCGTGGTTTCGGCCCCCGGCGGGGCTTGGGACGGCTGAACTCACGAGGAGAAGGGTGATCAGGGTGGCAGTGATGGACGACGGGATTGCCATGGTTTCAACATGCACTCAGCTACGACACCAGATAGTAAGGAGTCATAGGAATTGGGACCGACAGAGGAGGCAGCGCCTGCAGGGGAAGAAGTGCCGTTTGTTTAATAAAGGCTGCCCCCAAAAGTAGAGGCCCGTGACCTAAACTCAATTCCGCCGTCGTCTCCACAGAAATGCATTACAAATGATCCTATACCATAGTACAGTTCACCCACCGTTAGGTGGCTGATCCATGCGGGTGAGAATTTAGTGTCACTGTTAGCGCGGTGGGAAAGAAAGCTACAGACTACCAAATTCGCGGTCCCGAAAGCGCCTCGCATGGTCTCCTCCGAATCCATGAGCGATAAGAGCCTTCGGCTTGCCCTACGTTGACCACTTCAACGACTCTCTTGATCCTCATCGTTATCACCCATCCTTGATTTGACATTCCAAATTGCTCTTTTGCGCTTCAAGATGATTCAGTCAATGCTTCCAATGATCGACCAGACGTTCCGGTATTACGTTACCATCGCCAGTCTGTCACTCATATACTTCATGATCCAACACTGGGTCCGCCCTAAGGTTGGAAATGCCGCCTTCAGTGCCCCTTTCGTTGGACTCAAGTATGCTTGGTTGGCTCGATTTCAATTTTTCTTTTCGGCCAAGTCTATCTTGCACGAGGGATACACGAAGTACAAGAACAGGCCGTGGAAGCTCACTGGGAACGATGTCATCGTCCTGCCACAGAAGTACCTAGAGGAGATCCGCAAGCTGCCCCCGAATCGGGCAAATGCAATGAAGGCAAACCTGGACAATATGCAGAGCAAATACACACATCTGGATGTGCTGAATTCGACACGCCTGTTCGTCGATGTGCTCAAGTGGAAGGTGAACCCACAGTTGGCTATCTTAATACCAACGGTGCGGAAGGAGCTAGATGCGGCCTTTGCACACGAGCTACCTCCGAACATCAGCGAGGAAGAATGGACAAGCGTTCCAGCATTCCACACCCTCCACCGTATCGTTGGGCGCATCTCAGCTCGTATTTTCGGCGGCCGCGAGCTGCGAGATGACAATCGCTGGGTCGCCTCGGCCGAGGGCTACCTCAATAACATATTCATTACTGCTATCTCCATCCGACTGGTGCCCTATGGATTTAAGACGCTTGCCTCCTGGTTGCTGCCCTGCTCGTGGGAGATTTCGTGGCGTTTCTGGCGCGCAAAACGTATTCTACTGCCATACATCCGCTACAGAAAGCAGATATACGCGGAGCGCCGTGATGAGATCCAACGCAAGGGTAAATCCGAATTTCCAGACGTGCTCCAGTATCTCATTGAAGCTGCGAAGGGCAAAGATGCCGAACCGCTGCGGCTGGCGTCTATGGTCCTTGCTCTTTCCCTAGCCTCCAACCACACAACCGCCATGGCTTTGACGGAAACCTTGTACGACCTTTGTGCCTACCCAGAGTATCAGGATGAGCTCCGCCAGGAAGTCCTCAATGCCTTGGAGGTTGATGGCGGATGGGAAAAGACTACCCTTCTGCGTATGCGCAAGCTCGACAGCTTCATGAAGGAATCTCAACGCATGAACCCCCCAAGTCTCAGTATGAATGACCCCATCTCTTCCCGCAATTCAGTCTGACCGTTTCAATGTACTACTTTAGTGGGATACAAGCGTCAATTTACCGATGAGATTGAGCTTAGTGATGGCTTGCACCTGCCAGCAGGCTCACACGTCGAATTTCCTATCGTCCCAATCCAGCACGACAGCGTAGAGGATCCCACACGATTCGACGGGCTGCGCTACTACAGGCTACGTCAGAACCGCAGCGAGACCTACCGTCATCAGTTCGCAACGACCAGTCCAACCAGCTTGCATTTTGGGCACGGGCAGAATTCGTGTCCCGGGCGCTTCATGGCTTCGAATATTATCAAAATGGTCCTCGGCACGCTGTTGACCGAGTTCGAGTTCAAGCTCGAGCAGCCGGGACGGCCCAAGGGGCTCCACCCATTCGAGTTCAACTTTCCTAGTCATAGTGCTAATCTGATGCTGCGCCGACGGCGTAAGCCCGTAGGGGTAGCAGGAAGGCGGGAGCCATGAGCCATGATAGGTGGGTTGGAGGAGGGGGCTAGTACTTACCGAGTCTTCACTCGCTCCTAGTTTTGCCATTTCCGATGCTGCTTCACTCAATGGAGAAGTATAATTCAATATTTCCCGGTTGACTATGGCGATTGTGCATTGCCCGTAGGATAATCCAAGGGGGCAGTGTCCTGCCGGCCCCTCAACAGCCCGTATAGTGGGCCTGGTGAGCGGGATGAGTTATCTAGTTACCTTTAGGGTTCATCCCGCAGTGTCCTTGCGTCGGCCCCGCAAGACGCCCACTCTCAATCAGCTTGCCTACAAAGTGGCTTACGTTGGCAACTCAGCCTAATATGTCGATCATCTAGGTTGATCCTCCCTCCTCTCTAAGCGAAGCACGGAGATACAAACTAGAAAAATCTCTGCACGCATGTTGGCTAGTTTTAATCACGAAATTTGGCAAGAATAGCCGGTTAGCCCACCGAGCTAACGCTAGGAAATATACCCTCTGTAACATGAACATGATGAGGAAGTTCATAATGTAATTTGAATACAGGCCACTGGCGTTCGTTAGTGCCAATTTCCAACTGTTTGCTGCTTGCAGGATCAACGAATCGGGTGCTAGAACTTGTACAAAGTACTTGGGTGTGGGGATGCAGATCCCTGGGTTGGTCTCTCCGGTTACGGAATCGGATGGCTGAGCCGCCAATCCAGGCTTGATTCTCAGGCAGCCCCACCAGACTCGCACTTAGCGAGACATGGAGTATATGCCATACTGATTGGAATTCTCCATCCCAAAAGTCCGAGACTTAGCCCCGGCCTTCTACATCGTAGCGCCCAAACAACATCGAATTGATGACACTACACCCACCATTCCGCCGTAGCGACAACGTCGACCACCCCACTCCCACAAAGCCATGGCAACAACGCCTGATGAATAGTCTGCATGTTCATGCAACAACCGTCACATTTTCATCTGCTAATAGCTACCTACTAGGTAAGTAAACTCCGTACTCATCCCCCCCCCCCGGGCAAATGTGCCTTTGCCAGTTACTCAAGGCTCCACTGCTTAGCCGAACAACGATCTGAACTCCTCAGCCAGCTTTGCAATCAGACACCCCAGCCCCGTCCACCTCACCACGCTCTTCCTCACCCATCTCATCAGTGGGACGGCGTTTGCTATCGCCATCACCCTCCGTAGTAGGCCGGACACCGGTCTTTCCAGCTATGGAGATCGGCGGTGCCAACACACCGGCCACCACTGCCGCCCCACAGAGGGCCAGAGTCAGAATCCAAGCACCATGGATCCCGGCCAGATACGCCCGACGAACCCCCTGCAATTCTGCCTCGCCAAATGCACTTTGTAGCTCCGACGCCCCAGCTTCCAGCACTGCTGTCGCCGATGTCCCCGGCGCATACTGGGCTAATTTCTGGATCACCCGGTTGGAAAAGATACTTTCGCCCGCCGCGATCCCGATGACGCCACTGCCTAGTTGAAAGACTTCATGGGTGAGGGTCAGTAAAATAAAAGACATAAAGGAAGAGAAAGAAAAAAAAAAGGCAAGGTGCTTGAAAAGCAGGGAGTAGAGTCGGAACGTAGGAATTGGGGTTAAAGGATGACAGGCGGGTAACATTGATGGGGAGGGACAAACAAGCAAGCATAACGGAACAGAAAGTGATCGCCGTGTCTCCAGTGTCTCCATAGAAGCAGACGGGATCGTGAACACACTAGTAAGAAAGAGGAAGGTGCTTACACAAAACGAGGGCAGTCACCGTGGCTAGCTCTTTTTGGTCCACAAATGCTTGCACAGCCGTCACTGGGACTTGAACGCAGATCCCATCTCCAGCCCCCGCCAAGATCTGATAACCGATGATTTTGGCGGAAGGGGTGTTGATGTCCAAGGTGTAGATCAAACCAGAGCCGATAGTCACTGTACCGGCGCCCGCGAGGAGGAAAGGTTGGTAGTATCCGACCTTATTGAGGACGCCGCCAGCCAGCATCGTGAAAACGGCTGTACAGGGAAACCGAAGCGCAACAGTCAGGATCTGGTTGGAGATGCACAGATATCGGAAGAAGGGAAAAGCATACATGTGGGAACTATATATGCCAGTAGGAGAATTCCGCTGCGTTCTGGCGAGGCATACTTGATCGCCTGGAAGTAGAGAGGCAAGTAGTAGACGCGGATATAGTTGGCCGCGTTTAGGCTGCCATGCTCAGTTAGCGTAATGACTGAGTTGCCAGTAATCTTCACCTACAAGAATACGAAGATGCAACACATCAAGACGCCGCGGTTACGCAGGTATCGCGACGCAACCAGTGCTTCATCCCCCTGGAACCACTCCACGGCCGCAAAAAGTAGCGTCAATAGGATCCACCCGACCAGTAGGCCGATGGGCTGTGACGAATTCCAAGGCTTGGTAATTCCTCCGTATTCCAGCGCCAATAGATAGCATATAAGGGCACCAGTCATGACGAAACAGCCCGGGAGATCCAACTTGAGGAGAATTTCCAGCACCGGTGTAGGAGCCGGTCGGCGGCTTTGAGGGAGGCGTAAACTCAGCAAAAGTGCGGCAACAGCTACACCCCCAAGAGGAAGATTGATGTAGAAACTAGATGAAACAGGAAAGATTGCAATATTAGTTCTTGGAGAGTGTCTGCGAGGCCTAGAGAAGCCATTACTACTCACCACCATCGCCAAGTCACGGTGGACGTGAAGGCCCCTCCAATCAAGGGTCCGGCAACACTTGCGATTGTGAAAATGATGCCATTCAGACCGTAGAAAACCGGAACTTTTTCAGGTTGTACAATGTGGGCTATAATAATATAAGTGCCCGATATCACACCAGCACCACCAAAGCCCGCGACTGCACGGCCAGCAATGAACCCGGCACTGTTCTTGGACACCGCTGGTACTGGCTTAGAATCTTCGTCCCAAGAGAAAGAAAAAAAAAAAAAAAAAAAAAAAAAAAAAAAAAAAAAAAAAAAAAAAAAAAAAAAAAAAAAAAAAAAAAAAAAAAAACCCAAAAAAAAAAAAAAAAAAAAAAAAAAAAGAAAGAAAGAAACGAGAGATTCAGGAGAGAGACACAGACATACCACACCCAAGTGTTCCCAACTCGAAGCTCAAGATTGCCGTAATGAAAATGTACTTTATGGAACAGTATCGATACAGCTTTCCCCAGAATGTTTGGAAGCAACACATTGTGAGGAAGAAAGCCGAGCCATACCAGCCTACGTCGTTGAGGCTATGGAAATCATGTGTAATTCGTGGGACGGCCGTGGAGATAATTGTCTGTGGGCAGCATATTAACAGAAACTGGATTCAAATAGAAAAATAATAAACTCGACGTACCAGATCCAAGGCAGTCTTAGTGTGATCATACAATCGTTAGTCCAGAATCCCAACTGCAATGTGATTTTTCAGAGAAACAAAACCGAATGCCTACCAGAAGCATTGCAAGCAAGAGGGCTAGTATGGTGACTATGAATTGATATTTGGACATCCGCTCTGTCGCCACGAGGCTGTCCTTTGGGGGTCCCTTCTCGAGGGAGGGGAAACAGTCACCGCTGGACATGTCAATGCTGGTCATCGCGGAAGATATGCGAAAAAGAAAAATGTAGAGCAGTAAGAACCAGTGATCAATGTGTGGGGATTATATGAAAAGTTTTCAGAGCGAGGTTGTAAAAGTCTGATGACTGAGGATGGCTATCTGTGGCTTAGACAGTGCGGACGGGTCGATCGGGTACAAAGAATCTTTTAGACCTACGACAAGGAGACTCCGTCCGCCCCCAATGAGCACTAAGTCGACCTGCATATACATGCATCAGCTCAGGCTCGGCCAGTTAGCCAAATTTCTGGCGAGAGTCTGAAGGACACACCTATTTAGATGAGCCCGCACTCGTGTTCTTTCATTCACCTTCCAGATCTCGTATTATTCTTACATTATAATCATGTCCACTCTTTCCCCCATCGAGATCGCCTATGAGAAGGCTCACATCAATGAGACACGACAGCCTGCTTGCTATGGTGTTGTTATCACCTTTTATGTCATCGCAATCATCCTGGTGGTGATTCGTTTGGCCGTCCGGCGACAACAAAAGACGATGCCTAGTCTGGACGACTATCTCTCTATCGCAGGCATCATATTTCTGATACCGTTCATAAGTGCCACTCTTGGAGGTCAGTACAGTCGCTTGCAACCGACTCACTAGAGTACTGATCGCAACCACAGAGGTCGCCAATGGTATCGGTCGGCATAGCATAACCGTGACTACCCATGAGTCGATCATGCAGATGAAGGTGGGTATCAGCGGAAATGTCAACAAACAGCGACCTATTGCATCTGACAGGAACATAGTGGGAAGTAGTCAACTTGTACTCATACACAATGTCCATTACAACCATAAAATTATCGATCCTGGCGCTTCTGGGTCGTATCTTCGTTACTGCTCCGCGCAGCTTCCATATCTGCATCTATATATTGGCTTGCTGGATGGTTCTCTGGGCGATTGCCTTAATCTTCGCCTACAGTTTTCAGTGCCGACCATTCTCAAGCCAGTGGAGTCTCAGTGAAAACTGTAGCTCAAGTTTGAAACTCGAATACTCCGCCAGTATCCTCAACGCCGTTCACGACGTGATGATGTTTTGCCTCCCGCAGCGGATCATTTGGAATCTTCATCTTGCCGCCCGCAAAAAGCTGGCCGTGAGCATATCGTTTTTTATCGGACTCGTGTAAGTCATATCCTTCTGTTTAGTTTTACCATACACACTCGAGGAACGCGGGCTGATTGGTAACGTAGCGCCACGCTGATGGCATTGTTGAAGATAGCTTACATTCAAGGTGCACCCGGCACAAGCCACAAATCGGATTTGTGTAAGCCTTTGAATCCCATGTTACCACCCAAGTTCTTCCAACTCTTACGCAGGAGCTTTATCTAACATATGTATAACCTATTGTAGATGCCATCGCCCCGGCTCTTATTTTTAACGCTATGGAGCCTCTTCTCGCCTCCATTTGCTCCTGCCTTCCAGCCATCCCGTATTTCTTCCGCCACGTGCGACTAGACAGCTTCTATCAGCTCTCAAGCCTATTCCGCTCTAGCAGGAGCGTCAATAACTCGAAGGAGTCCGCAATCAACATTGGCAGGAATAACAGGCACTATCCTCCCTCCAACGGGGCGTCGACAGAGTCCATTACCGAGCTGACAAAACGCCCCGGAGAGGAGGTCTAGTTCTCATCGGGTGGCAAGGTTGCACTAAAATTTTTACTTGTGGGATTATGAGGCCGGTGCTTATTAACGCGGAAAGGGACAGACGGAAAGCAGACCCCGATTGCGAGTAGAAGACGAGTTACCTTTTCAGTCTTAGTCTGACTTCAATGTTTTGATTTAGCACGGATGTATGCAGCATACTTCTGCATGGTAGACCGCTTGAAGCGTCCTCTGTACAGCCCCAATACTAGCCATACTAGCCATGTTAGGCACTCATTCCTAGTGGCTCAGTTTCGTCATTAACTACGCTGTATACCAATACTTACGCTTTTTTTTTTTTTTTTCCAAACTAGCCTGTGTCGAGCTCTCTTGCAGGAATGTGACCATAAAGTGACTTGCAGGCCAGAAGCAAAATACTCCGCAAGCATGATTTGTTTGCTGTGATCAATCAAAATTAGTGGTAATAAGTCATTACCGAGCCTAAACTACTAGTGGCAACTTCCAATCGGGCTAGATACAAAGTAGTCAGATGCGTGCTTGTCACACATTTTGTGTGATAAAAACGGCCCCCATAGTGATCGGCATTACGTGCATATCTGGCTAAGCTAGTGAGCAGACATTCTTATTCGACAGCCTTGCCTTCCGCAACCCAAACCTCCTCATATCCCACCCTTCTCACCACGGAAGCTTTGTCAATCAGTTTGGCCTCGCTTGGCTCCACTACCTCTGTATAGTATGGATCTGCGCGCAGGCGGCCCAGAATGTCCCAATTTTCCAACAGGATTTCCGCATGTCCATCAAACGACTCCATCACGTGATCTCCCCCCGCGTGCCCCTGACCCAGGTACTGCTTGGCCATGTCAGGTGGGGTGTGGAACTGGTTGAAGGACGAACGTTAGCAATGAAACAGCCCCTAAGTATACTTTGACAGGAGCCTTCACGGGACATACCAGAGTATAACGGTATACCCCATGCCGTGCCAACCAAACTTTCAACAATTGAGCGTGAGTAGTGGTCCATGTGCTTGTGAGGTGGGGACAGAGTGAAGAAGTCAGCAAACCTTCTCCAATGTAAGTTGGGGATAAACTCGGATCTAATCTCACTGGTGAAAATCCTCCACGGTGAGGGACGGATGCCGCTTGACATAAGTGTCGAAGCGAACCAAACGATTGTTAGTGGTCATATCCGTAGAGAGTACCTGCAAACAGGGGCTGTGTGCTTTGGGGCCAGGAATGGGAGAAATAAGTGCCAAGGTAGGGAATGTGAGGTTCGTTAATGAGGTCGGAGTAGCGCGACCCTTATCTTATGTGGTTTCCCGTGAGGACGGAATACTTAGCACGAAGTAGCCACCTGTCCGTGCCTAGAGGACCGGTCCAGATTACCCAAAGCGGAAGTTTTACCTGGCAAGCCAATCTGCCTTGCTGCCCACGGTTGACTCACGCAGTAGAATGCGGAACGAGGAGGAGGTTTACGGGCACTAGCGAAGAGATCAATGCGTAATTGACCAGGAAAATTACCACTATCTGTGGGCCAAGTCTGCCTCACAACTCTAGACTGGTGCTGATCTGGTGGGGTTAGGGCCAGCCGACGGTTTGAAATATATCGTATCGAGGTCTACTATAGACTAGTATTTCGTTTAGTACCAGGCAGTGTGCAGCATAGCCACCATGACAAACGTCGTAGGTTCACTATCACCGTAGTCTTAGATTATATGCCTCGACGGCTCTCTTGATTTGCCCATGATGACTCCATGGCTCTCATTAGTAATCTCTGTCTCTCAGGTCGCAAGCATATAAAGTCCCGTATATTTGAGAAGACGTATAGTAGATCAGCACTTCTCTGGAATATCTTATAACATGTCTTTCCGCGATCAAGTCCACAAGAGCTGCACTCAGCTGTTGCAGAAACTGGCAGATAGCTGCAGCCATTCCCATGGACTAAGTACTATCTCATGCTCTGTGTATGATACTGCCTGGGTGTCAATGATACAGAAGCCGGTAAAAGGATCCCCTTCCCAATGGCTCTTCCCATCATCCTTCGCCCATCTTCTGAATACCCAGTCCCCGGATGGCGGGTGGACAGGGACGTCAGACTGCGGCGTGGACCACATCCTGAACACAATGGCTGCACTCTTGTCTCTACTTCGACATCGAACCTCCCTTGCCACTTCTAACGAGCACAAGGAGGAGGCGCGCGATCTGGACGAGAGGATCTTTCGAGCGATGGCTTTTCTGCGCCCGAAGCTTCAGCTTGCAGACGTCGCAAGTGTTGACCGCGTAGGATTGGAGCTTCTTATTCCCGCCCACCAACGTCTCTTGCAAGAGGAGGGAGTGTTTTTGGATTTTCCCGGTGCCATAGAGTTGAACCGGTTGCGAGAGGCCAAGCTGGCCCGCTTCTCCCCGGAAGTTCTGTACGGCAGCACACCCACCACGATCACCCATTCTTTAGAAGCCTTCATTGGAGTTGTCGATTTTGATCGGATCCGCCATCGATTGGACTTTGGGAGCATGCTGGCGTCTCCTTCCTCAACCGCTGCCTATCTGATGAGCTCCTCTCAATGGGATAATACTGCTGAAGCCTACCTGCGTGCTGCTGTAGAACATGGTGCAGGGCAGGGCTCAGGAGCCGTCCCTAGCGCTTTCCCAACAACCACCTTCGAGGTCGTCTGGGTGGCTTCGACACTTCTGCAGTACCAGGTCGTGCTTGGGGACACGGGACAGCAGTGTTTGCAAACTATCGGGCAATACCTGAACCATATTTATGAGCGCCAAAATGGGGTGTTCGGGTGGGGTAAGGACTTATTCCCCTTCATCTTCTTGAACACCTCTAACCCTCGAGATGTTTAGCGCCCACCCTGATCGCTGATGCTGACGATACGGCGCGCGGCGTCTTGACCTTGAACTTGATCGGCTACGCCGCACGACCAGAGCAGTTAATCGCACAATTCCGAAATCATGACCACTTTCGAACATATCCCCAGGAAAGAGACCCAAGTATCAGCACGAACTGCAATGTTCTTGCCGCAATGCTTCATACAACGGAACCATATCAGTATATTAAGGATATCGAGTTGACGCTCCGCTTCCTCTACCGGCAGCACAACGCAGGGCATTTCCAAGATAAATGGGTAGGCATGAACTCTAGAATTCCAGAGCGTCCCGACGGCCTGTCACTAATGAAGTGTGAAATAGAATATAAGCCCTATGTATCCTCGAATGCTCCTTGCCACTGTGCTTTCACGGGTGACACAACTTTGGGCTAAAGGGCCCCTCGCCTCTTTGGCACTTGACTGCGTGCAAACGGCTTTTGTTGTCCTCAGCAATCTGCTGCAGAAGACACTTATGGAGCAAGATCAGGCAACAGGATCCTGGAATAAATCCACTGAGGTCACCGCGTATTCTGTTCTTACATTGGCCGCTGCCTCCAACACCCCCGCCGGAGCTGTGGTCGGGGAGAAGCTTCGCACCAGCATCATTTATGGACGCGCATTTCTCGAAGCCAACTTTCAACTATGGGGCCATGACCGGCCTCTTTGGATTGAGAAAGTATTGTACAGCTCCCCCTTACTCTCGAGTGGGTTCTGTATTGCCGCGCTGCTCACCCCGACCTTTACCATGCAGGTGGCGAGCAACGAGGATGGGGTGACAACGAGGGTACCAAGTAACAGCCTACTCCACTTCCGAAAGTTCTATTCCCGTCTGCCCCTTCTTAGTGCCGAACCGCAGTGGCGGCTCACATCCTCTTTGTACGAGGCGGAATTATGGTATCATCGCTTGGCCGATCAGCGTCACGAAATCTTCCCTCGCGATAACATGGCGCCGGACAAATACCTGCAATATATTCCACAAACCTGGACGCTCTGCAACGCACGCAACGGCGATGCGCTGGAGCCAGATCTAATGTGGAACATGATGATTATCTCCATGCTCAACTATCAAGTGGATGAGTTCCTTGAGTCGGTCGTAGGGGCCTATACTGCGGAAGAGGTCAATGTCGTACGAAACATTATCCATAGATTGTGTGACGACGAGCAGCACCACCGAGAATCACCCCTTCCGAATCTTCTGCTCCAGGGAGAAGACCCAAGCTCAGACGAAGAAAACAGTGATATACACCTACGGCGCTCCGAGCCCACCCCTCCGGAATCTCCCAAAGACGGCAACGCGAACCACACCCTCGCTCACGCTAGCCACATTCTGTACAAATTCACTCGCTACATACTCTCACATCCGGCCGTTGCTCACAGCCCTGTGAATACACGTCGCCTCCTTGCCCGCGAACTCGAGACTTTTCTGCAAGCACATCTGACCGATCTGGTGACGAGCCAGCAACTGCATCAATCTCTCCCCTATCTCCACCTACATGAACAGCTTGCCAAGCCACCATCTTCCTACTTCACCTGGGTCCGTACCACCTCCGCTGATCACACCAGTTGTCCATATTCCTTTCACTTTTTTGCTGCCCTCGTTGCCTACTACCACCGCCCTCCAGATACAAGCGCTCCTCAATCTGCCTTCTACGGGCCCCGCCAACGCTACCTAGCAGAATCTCTCTGTCGCCACCTTGCCACCATGTGCCGCCAATACAACGACTATGGCAGCATTTCTAGGGACATCGTGGAAAGGAACCTCAACAGCGTCAACTTTCCTGAGTTCTGGGAGCAGGTTGGGGATGGAAAGATAGCCGACACCCATAATGACGGCGGCGACCACGGCAAACCGACTGACAAGTCTCTAGATGCGGTCAAAGCAGATCTAATCTGGCTCGCCGAGTACGAACGGGCCTGTTGTATGGGCGCCCTGGACCGTCTAGTGAATGAGACTGGGTTACCGACACGCACGGCTCGGATCTTGCAGACCTTTGTCGATGTGACTGATCTTTTTGGGCAAATCTACGTGGCACGAGATATTGCAAGCCGAGTGCGATAAGGCTTGATGTTATTTTATATGCGACTGCATGTTCCTTAGCCTAAATCTTGATTCTGCGCCCGTAGGTCTCTATTCCTAGCTTCCTTTGGGCTTTAAGCGATACATATTCATTGTGCACCCCTCTTCTTGACATGACAAGATGTGGGAAGTGACCTTTAAGTCGCTGTTTGGATTCAATTTTGGGCATGTTTAAGCCGCCTGGCGTAGATAGTGGATGGTATTTGCAAGACTAATGGCATGATCCATGCTTAAATCATGGCCCAGAACAAGTTGATTGATTACTATAGGGGTGAAATCGCGTTTGAATATGGCTTGGTGAGTCTCTCGCATCTATACTATTGTACCACATTTTATGCTTCAAATTGAGCGTGCTCCAAGGTATATTAATCGCTTCCAGCAGGCTGCTTCAGACCAACTCAATACGTGCGCAATTAATCGGCTTATGGAGGCTGCACTATGTTGCCGCGATTATAGTATACAGTTGCGCGGCTTCTATAATCAGCGAGTGCCCTATATCACATGGTTATCCAGATATGCGAATAGACACCATATATAACATCTTACTGTTCCACTGAACATAGTTAAATATTGCAGTTTATTTTCTCAGCTTTCCATAGAAACGATTGCTAATACATCAAATTTCTGTATCATCGGACGATGGATTCCTGCGTCAACATGTACTATAAACGAGGCGATGTAGTGTGTACTAGAACAACTCCCCACACGTGAATCAAATTTTCGAAATTTATATGACCACCACAGGGCCTACACTACAGGCCTTATCTCTTATATAGTTATATTTAATGTCTCTAATAATAATATTAGTTTAATATTTTATATAATTAACTAGTGGTATAATATAAAAATAATTATTAAATATATTTTAGAAAGTCAAGAGAACTTTTTTAAAACTAGTAATATAATTTATGAAGATAGTCTTGAAGACTATAAAGATATTTATTATGATTAATTTAGATAATAATTTAAAATATAAATCAAAAAAGTTAAGTAATTACTTTCACTCAGACGCGAACTCTTTCGAGGGCCACTTCTACCAGGCTCTGTTCTGTGCGCTTTCGAATGGCTACCTAGACAACTTCTGAGTGACAAACACACACATTTTCTGACGAAGCTATAGACCAAATCGGTCATATATAAGCGTCAAGCTAGCTGAACAGGGGCTTGGACCGCTTTGTAAAAATTTACTTCAATTCAGCTGCCTACGGGTGACTACCTTTATAATCACTGTCTGGAGTACCTATTGTCTGTCTTTAATATTGCTTGCTAGCTGCTCCCTCTGGCTTATAGTCGAACAATCACATTATTTATAATTTAGCGGATCTTTTGTCAACGGGTTTCCAAATACTCAGTGGCACCTTCCAGTCCTCTGGGATGGTGGACCTTTCCTTGACAGAGAGACTTTCCCACCCGGCGGCAATTCTCTGTTCATCCCTGCGCCAACGCTCACTTTCCGCCGCAATCCACGGCCCGATATAACTTGCCGTTTGGGTCACCATTTCCATTGGAAATGTGTGGCTCCCTTTGTCCATGACGATATGTTTTACACGAGAATACCGTTGGCCGCCACTACCAGAAAATCCGGTGCCTGCCATTTTGACGGCTTCACTCTGGTGCCCTTTTTCGTAAAGGCCACTTTCAGCACCACTGACGAATAGAGCCCCGGGTCGAAGGTGTGGTAGCAGACGGTACGCAAGAACAGAGTCTGGGCGGTAGAACTTCTGCCCATCCAACAGAGGTCCAAGAATGTCAGGTAGGAAAAGTGCATCATGGGGTTTACCGACCATTTCAGGGTTGTCCGCTGCTGTCTTGCTTTCCGACAGTCCCAGCTGTGTGTGCCCGTCTAAATTCGCGCGAGCGAGTGTAAATGCCTCCTGGTGTTTTGTGGTGGTTAGTGTCACTGGAACCTCATCATCCCCGTTATCCTTGTTAACCTCAGGATAGATCGCGGTTGGTAAGTTGCGGAAACCATAATGGACCCAGCGGTCGAGCACACGTGGATCCCAGCTGCGCAGAGCTCTGCGTATAAACCTCTCTGCTTCATTCCGAGAGGACCAGATATCCCTTCGCGTCACTGTCAGGTAGAACAGAGTCAGAGCATTGACATCCCGGTTGTCGGGGATCAGGTAGGGATCCAGTAAGGTCAATGATGAGAACAAGCGAGGGTGCATCAGTGATAACAGTATTCTAAAATTTGTGAGCAAAATATTTTGATATGCAACTTCGGGTAACATACAGCTGTGATCCCCCAGCGCTATGTCCTACACCCATGATCGGCCGTGGCATATCCTCTCGAAAGTGGTTGATCATATGCAAAAGGTCACGGGCATGATCAAACCATGATGCTATTCATAATTAAAGTCTTTTCCATGGGAAATTATTGTGGTTAGAAGACAAATATTACTCACTTTCATTGCCCATAATGTTTTCGTTTTGGACCCCACTGGCTCCTTGATTGGCGCAATCAGCTATCCAGATTGCTCTAATACGAAAGCCATCCTTCTTGCTCCTGGCCAAAAGGTCATCCCATAACGGCTCATAAAGTTCCTGTTATGATTCAAGTTAGCTGTATGAGCGGATTAGTTGTGAAGTTTGGTCAACGTTTATACTTTAAGAAATCCAACTCCATGCGCGCCAACTATGGTTATATCGCCCTCTTGCGGATTTTGATTACTTTTAGGGGTGTATTTCTTGATACTAAGCTTCACTGGCGCATCCTGGGGATATGTTGTTCTGGGGTACTCCCTTATATATTGGGCCTGGATGACATGCTCTGTAACGTTAAAAGAGGAGTCCATGGCTAATGTAGCTGCTGGATTTGAAGTAGGAACATAAGGGCACACTTCTCGCAGCAATGGACGTATAGATGGTATCCGTGTTTTAGGCTGTTAGACATCCACATGATTTATACCCATTGGTGTCAGTTTGCGACTCAAACACACTTCCAGGAAGTGTCACTAGCTATACCTTTTATGGATTAAGTGCAGTCGTGACCGGCTGAGAATGCGAAGTGGAGAGTGGGTACCTTTAATTTCACGAAGTACCAAAAGGGCTATTCTTTGACTCGTATCATCTTAGGACCCGAACAATCGGAACCAAGCTGAAGAGGACCAAGAATTCGGGCTAAGTGCATCTCTACACGATTCAAATCCAATTGCTGTGGGGTTTACTTTCCGTCTTCAACCTTCTTTGTAGAACACTTCCACTTCCATAGCTTGGATAGGTGGAAACTCACTGCGGCATACATACCCGCCGGCAGGCCGAGATCGAGAGTTCCTATCTTGACTACTGCCGTGTACTAGCGTTCGAATTTGGATACATCTGCGGTACTCAAGCAGGCTAACCCGAGTAGTCTATGGACGGACGATTCACGCTCTACTGCTATCTCCGAGCCTCTTCGCAACCTGCGAGCTGCTGCCCCTTATCGACTCCTGCAGCCAGGTAGGAAATCCCCGCAGCAAACTCAGCCACCAAAGCTTGCCCGGTAGAATTATTTGGCCACTCTTCCCGGACAGGATCTGTTGGCTGATTGCATGGCTCACTGTTTCCACTGCCAGTACAGGGCGTTTAAAGCGAGTTCCGCCCTTGGTCAGGGGCTTGATCATGGGGGTCCCCACATACAATGGATGGAACACACTGGCGCTACTTGTTAGCATTCCTCTATTATTCCAGGGAGCAGCCTGAATGCATGCTTACCTCGTTTTCACCCCATCGGCATTGTACCAAAATTTTAGTTCTTGGCCTATGGCTTCATGAAAAGCTAGCGCACTTGCTTTTGAGCAGGCGTAGCTGGCCATGTTACCCACACTCAGAAAGCTGGCCATACTAGCCAGGGTGACTACATGGCCGTGGTTGCGCTCGATCATCGCCGGGAGGAACTCCTTCACCGTCCAGTAATGGGCCATGGTATTGACCTCAAAGGTCTGGCGAACAGTGACTTCTGTTTGGTCGAGGATAGGAGTAAAATGCAATACGCCGGCATTGTTGACAAGGACTGTTGGGTGCCCATGTATAGCGCGAATCTCATCGGCTGTTTCATGTAGGGCAGCAGTTGAAGTGATGTCAGTCTCATAGAAGAAGACATTGGGGGCTGAATGAGTTAGCCATTAGTTAGTAGAGTAATTCTGTAAAATGATTGAAACTTACGAAGCTCAAAGGACGGCTGCTGGATATCCAGGATAATAACTTTAGCGCCATGCTGAGAAAGCTCCTCCATCACTGCTTTCCCAATGCCGCTGCACCCCCCCGTGACTAAGACAAGTTCTCGGTCATTCTGCCACGGCCGGCTCACTAGGCTGTTCAGTGACCATGCATTCAGGGTTCTGTTTACTTGGCGCAGTGTAATGTAACCCAATAGTGCGGCTAAGGATTTGGCGAGCAGGGGAAGAAGTAGAGTTTTCCGTATGTTTTCAGGAAGGCTCCTGACAATTACATCAAGCCCCCGCTGTACAGCTGTGGTTGGAGACATAGCGAGTGTTTTTCTTATTCACTCCTCAACGTGAAGTGGGAAGTGACGGTAGAAGTCTAGTGGATGGCGGGTCGCACTGAGTATTTATTTTCATGGTATAAACTACATCCACCAATAGAGATCGACAATGTCGTTGTTCAAAATACTTACGACTAGTCCCACCGAAAATCGGTGTGATGCATCCAAAGAACTGGCGCCCGTGAAGTCAGATGGGAGGAGATCTTACCCCGTGTTAGGTAGTGGAGACAAGTCCTGCAGCTGAAATCTTCCATGAAGACTCCGTGCGTCCCGGTGAATCCGATGAACAAGCATTAATGGCAAGTATCTACACCGCGTATCCACTGGCTCCACATATACCTTAGAGGTGGATAACGTGGTGATAGATACCCACAAATGGTTTCTAACTAACTTGTAAACACCTAATCTCGAGTGAACAGGTTAAACAAGTCTTTGAGGTGAGAAGGGGTGGTTGTTCCATGACACTGATTCAGCTGGGCTGTGGGTCGGTCCACCAGCGATTACCGAACGCTGCAAGTTCCAGTGGCTTTGCTCAGATCGACCGATTTGGTCCCCACTTGCAGATTTTTCATCTGGGAAGATCGTGTATCACTGAAAGTTACAACAATCAGGCCATTACAGTTCTGCTCACGTTACTCAGACTACGTTACTCCAAATCGTTGTTGTTAAACATGCTTATATGTGCTGAAATGGATAGTGTATTTGATACGCAACTACTGACGCACACAGAAAAGGACCTTTGGCAAAGCTCTTCATCCAATGCATCCCAAGTTATTGACGTACTAGGCATTTCTTCCCTGATGATGGTGTGATTCTTAGTGCTCCTGTAGCTGATCCAGCTGGCCTAGTTTATCTAATTTCTCCAGCCTTTCTAGTTCTTTCTGGACTGTTGGCCATGCTTGCGCACGTAATGTCCAGGCGAGCCACCAATCTCCCGCACCATCCTTGCCAAATATGATCCCAAGATTCCGTGTATGAAAAGATGCCGGTATCGCAGCCGTAATTTGTTGCAATGGCCTGCCTATGGTGTTTCTGCGGTCGGTGGCTGGGCTTCCGGACGAGGTCACCGCAGAAGAGAAATCGATTTCGTAGAGTTGGCACCTATGCCAATTAGTGCAGAAGATAACTAATGAGGTCGGCTCCCCCCAGAGAGCTGTGGCGCCAGTGGTGTCAAGTGCAACTTTCTGGATGGCCAACTGGGCTAGGCTTTGATGTCTGGTACGGTGCTGGATCAGCGCGGACCGAATGTGCCATGCCAGAAAGCTAAGTGGCTGGTAGACCATCTCTCGGGCGCGCAACGATGTCGTTGCATGAAGAATCGCGTTGGTAATGAAGGCGTCCTTGCCGGAAGTAGAGGTCTGTGGTAAAACAGCGCGAGCATCGAATAGATTGTACAAGGCAATTGGACGCCTTCCAGTCTCACCGAGCCCCTTCAGCATTGTTCGAGTCCACCATGCTAAGAGAACGTCACTTTCGCTTAGATAGACTGACTCAGCTTGTTCATGGGATGTCTGCTCAAGCTCTCGCATCATTTGGTTACGTATGATGCTGACCATGTGCCCGGGTATGCACAGCTGACGAGTTCCCTGCTGGCCGTACCTAAACATTTCCCAGAATATGCGGAAGCGGAATATGATCCATCTAAAGCCTCGAAGCCATTTCGGAAATTGGATAAACTCTGTCGCCGGCACTATGGCCCTATCCGTCCGTCCTAAGTCTTCGTCGATTCCCCGAAATCTCGGAACATGTTCTTCATGCCCGTTCACCACCGAGGACCATGCCTGAAAGAGATGCTTAATACCCATTGCATCCATGACAACATGCAGATACGTCAGTGACAGCAGGGTAGCGTCATGAAAATTCACGACATGGACGACAAGAAGTGGCCAGTCAGAATATAGCCAGTCATCGAGCTTCCGTGGGCAGTCAGGGTGAAGTGCAACTGAGGAGATATCTAAATGAGAGGAGAGGAACGGCTGTCCTGCACTTGTAGGCAACTTGGATGCCAGTGGATGCTCGCTGATATTCATTGACTGTTTATCGGAGGTCAAGACGAATCCCGGCCTTGCTGCATCAAAGTGAGCTGGGATATGGTACTCGAGCTTGCCATGGCTCTAAATGTCTGTCAGTATCCTTTCTTCTGGGGTTCTGATTAGAGGATGGTGGTCTACATTTATTCGTATCCGTGCTCCAAGTTTTCGCCAGTCCCCGATTTCCATCAGACGTTGCAATGCTTGTCGCAATTTATCCGAGTCCAGAACATCGTTGAATAAATACCCATAATGCAAACACCGTTGGTGCCAGCGAGGCTGGTCATCCAGCAGCGGCACAGGCACCACCGTATCTGTAGGGAGTGGCTGCGGCGCCGGCGGCTTGGACCTAGAAAACAGTCTCATAATAACAAGTTATAAAAAGTGCTGTTTTCGCTTCTCGACGATGTTGCTTCTCCCGATAGAGATACCCAGAGGACGTAATATATAAAAACGGAAGAGCACTAGAGCTCCCTTTTGAATCCCCTTCCTCAACCTTTCCTCAACTAGCGTAAGAAACACTAATAGAATACAAGACGCGGATTGATTTTCAGCAAAAGATTCAAGATTACCTACATGGAACAAAATTTTTATGGCATAAACTTGGCAGATTTGTTTTACCCGCATTTAGATGTAATGAATTGTAAACTAGCACTTCGGATAACGCCTAACCCAAATTTCTGGCGTAGAATAGGTACTGTCTGACTCGTCAGTCAGGACCATTCTACTTGAAGGGCGCCCTGAACAGCCCAAAGACAGTTCTGAACGAGGTCAGTCTGCTTGTGGGGCTGTCGAAGATTCCGGCCCATCTTCGCTATCCGAGATGGGTGTGGAGTTTGGTTACTAAGTACTGTGTACGAGGGTGAATGGCCCTATCTATGGGCACCGGGATCAACATTATCATCACTTCACAACTGTCAGCCTCCCGTAATGGAAGGGCTTCAATCAAAGGATAAACCCATAGAGGAAGTTTCTTGATATGGTTCATAACCAGTCTCCTTGAGCTGAACGGTAATATTCCGACTGTAGATTGTATTCAGTAGGCAAGTGTAGACTCTCCTTGCTACGGCCAAGCTGCTGTATCAATGTAAGTAGGAAACAATTGGTTACAGTAGCTGATCAACTCCCTGCAACCGGGACATTGTTCCTGCCAGGCGGAAGAGGTGGGTGTCGAGTTGACCCATCGTGGTGGTGTCGTTCGAGCTTCCCAACCAAGTATAGCCGTTGGACCTGAACGCAGCCGGGCTTCAGCTTACTCCACCACGACTCCAGATGGGCGGAACCGCTACGAGTCATGCCCGATGGCTGGCTGACTGTCTGTCGGTCGAGTGCCGAGAAGCCTATTGCAATGTCCCAACATGGAAAAAAACAGACAGTACTGAAATAGCCACTATATGCTACCAGATTTATCACTACGCTTGAGGTCTCTGCCGGCAAGTTTCCCGTCCTTTTTTTCTTCCGCTAAGCACGGAAGAGAGTAACGAACACAGAGAAAGCATGAACAAGACAAACGATATGAACCCATCACCGAGACCAGAGTAGCTATACATGTCACACTTGAGGATGTCGACGCAAAAGTCCTGTTATGCAGCATACATAGACTGATCTGAATGGAAACAGCCGCTGTGACGCTGGCCAGACTACTATCCCACCAGGCTTTGCTCATGCCACATCCTGCTACCTACAATAGAAGGTAAATAGAAGATAAGACTTGCTCTTGACTGCCTGCTATTTTGATCCACGCTGCAGCCTGGGGCATGAATTGTTCACATTAGGCAGTCACTTTATGCCTCAGGCAAAAAGACAGTATGTCCCTTCTAGGAAGGCGGTATGAAATCAAGATATTAGAAACACCTCTTACCTACTGAGGTAGGCGGAGGGTAGATAGAAGGATACTTCCATCGGGGGATAAGTTAGGCATAATTGACGTTACCATGCGCAATTACCTAGTATTCAACCTCAAGAGCGTTGCTCAAAAGCGTAGCAACCACGGAGATTGATCAATTGGGTAGCAATATGCAGAGTTTAGTACTATGTTGCTCCTGATATATGATGGGGAAGGCAAGTACATTTTCTTCCCCAGTAGTACTTCAGACCTATAGAACGGTACTTAGTATGATAGCTAGTACCAACTGTAGTAGTAACTTGGCATGAATATATATTGCAAAATGCAACTGTACTACTTACTACTTACCCTTTACTCCTTCTCAATCAATAACCTTACGTGAGCTAGTGCAACCAATGGGATCTTTTCTATGAGGAAAACATGATGCTCCGGATTCATTATTATTGAGTCTCTGATTTGAGTTTGTTATTTTGATTCGGGAGGAGGAGTGAGATGCGGTCGCTGTGGATGGCAATCGACGAAGTTGGTGGGTGTAATAATTGTATGAGACTGGTAACGGGCGTAATTATATCTCTCTCCGAAACCGGCTCGGAGCAAACACTTAATTCTTCCCTAAGTAACCTCCGATCGCAATTCATATCCACATATGCCTTTACGTGATCAGAGTATGGAGGGCGCGGGCAATCGGCCACGAATCACGAGGAAACATTCTGGCTGCAAGCCTTGTCGACGGCGAGGCAAAAAGGTCAGTTGTCCCCAGGAGTATAAGTAATCGGAGTAATCCTGCTCACCACCCCGATAGTGCGATGAATCAAGACCGCGTTGCCGGGCTTGCGCCCGGCTATCCTTAGAATGTATCTATGGCGTCGACTACAGCTTCCATAACATCACTCCGACGAAATTGCAGCGACAGCCGATTATTGTGGCGGAAGATTCCCCGTCAGCCCCTCTTGCTTTGAGTTCTGCGCCGAGTAAGGTGGCCGTTGAGCTCCGCCATCTGCCGAGGTCATGCATCTCCCACCACCTCACGCGATCCAGGATCCCTAGGTCTCTGGACGGCGGAGATAATCTTGAGACATGCTATCTAGCCCATTTCCAGAGGCATGTACGCAATCTCCTTCCTGCATCCACTTGGCCATCTGCAAACGCAACCTTCCATTCCCCGTACCTCCGAGCTGCTGCCTTGTGCATCTCCGCATCCAATCTCTCAATGTTGGATGCACAAGTACAGAGCCGTATCCTCGTGGGAAGCCATCGTCAGGCCTGGTTCAGTCCACTGGTCAATAAATTGCATCACGCCAAAGCACGGGACTATCATGATCGTGCGTTACGACTCTGTCGCGTGGCGGATATGAAAGAGGTGTCGGACGATGCCGCTGCTATTCTTGTAGCGCAAATTCTTCTTGCATATTACCATCACGCGTCGACCAACCACCAACGCTTTCGGTCGGCCGTGTGGGATACTGTTGAATTTGTCTCTCGGAATAGGGAGTACATCATGCGGTCCGCCGGGGGCGTGGGGGCCCTGCAAATGTGGCATCGCTTATGTGTTTCTCATCGTCTATCTAAGCCACCATCATTGCTTCTGGAGGGAGAGGGCAGAAGTTCCTTCGGTCCAAACTGTTTTCCAGACGCCACCGACCAATTGTATCTTAGCACCGTCTTGGGGATGAGCATGGATGACCTGATCTACGACATTCTTATCAAAACTATGGAGATCCGCTCGCGACTAGTAGTGTTCCGCTGCGTTGCCTACCATTACCGGATTCCTGAGTCATCAAGAGAGGTGGGTGGTCTCGCTCACGGTCTCCTGACCCAGATGTTAGGCAGACCCTTTGTCCACGAAGAGCTTTCCGAGGCCCAGAAAGGCTTTGTGCGTGGCTCGCACCTACTGGGGCTGTTGCAGGTGCAAAAGGAACGGTTATCTGTGTGGAAATCTCTCCGGCACACGGAACGATCGCCTGTCAGTCGCCAGGCAGACAACCATCGTGATATTGTGTCTCCAGAGGAGTGGAGCCTTGCAACTCATCGAGATGCGATGAACACCCTGTATGAGATACTTTGCGAAATGATCTTTGAGGAAGCCTACGCAGTGTATGCATCTGACTTTGCGTTGGAGCAGCACTCTGCCGCGACTGCGCTTTCTCGTCTGGCACAGAACTTTTGCCACATTGTGAGCACCTTAGATTTTGCTGCAGTAGGTACGGCCGATGTCTACACCTTTAGTCTGACCGAAAGTTTCCTCCAATTGGTCGTTCTCTGGCGGTCCGATAGCTTGTTTCACTTTATTCTGGACGTTGCGTGGCCGAACATTGAGAGGAAGACTCGAGGATTCGAGCACTCGCACTATCCCACTCACCTCGCGAAGCGGATCATCTCTCTGGTGGCGGACTATTGGTCCCGGGGGAAAACTGTGACCCTCGTGATGCCCGCCGTGCCAGAGGATATCCCGAAAGTGAGACTCCTCGACCTCAACCATCCAATAGAGATGGTGATATGCGGACATGATCCGGATCACACCGCGTGGATGAGCAAGATTCTTCTCCCTTGAACAAGAAAGCTAACCCCAATCGGGTCAAATTATACGCGGTAACACCGTTACGCGGGGAGAGTGGACCCACCCTGCGTACTTCCCGTATCACTGGTCATGTCTCCATGTTATCCATGTTTCCATAATACTACTCGGTACGGTCGTGGTTATAAAGGCAGCGGGTTGACCATCAAGATTTCGAGTCCCATTCACTCATCACCTATCCCCTTTCTTTAACTCACAGACATCTTCTCGCCATGCCACGTGCTGTTTGGACCAAACTTCTGTCCGATGTCTCTATTAAGAGATCATCCCAGACTCTCGCAATCCTGGCCAGCAATGCATATATCTATGGCGGAGAGCTGCGGCCGCGAGAACCAGTTGATTCTGCGGTATACCGTTTGTCTTTGGACGCTTGTAAGTCGCCATAGTCTCTGTCACCCGTCAGTAGTATATATCAAGACAATACATTGATTGATACAAACTAGCAAAATCCAGCAACCACAATATCATACAGACTTCCCCGTCTGCCAGTCACCCCCAGCCCCGCGTAGGTTCCGCCTCGACCGCGCTTGCTGGGAGACTTTACATCTTCTCTGGTCGGGGAGGTATCGCCATGGCCCCGATCGAGGAATCTGGCACCTTCTGGGTCTTTGATCCGACCCAGAACACCTGGTCCCAATTGGCCCCTGCAACCTCGAACTCGCAATACCCTGTGGGCCGCAGCTACCACACGCTCACCAATAACGGCACGGACACCATCTATTTGCACGGTGGCTGCCCATCCAATGGTCGTCTACGCGACCTTTGGGCGTTCAACATCCATTCTCGGCAATGGCTAGAGTTGCCCCCGGCACCCGGCCCGGAACGAGGCGGCGCGTCGATCGCGTACGCTGATCAGCGAATCTACCGGATGAACGGCTTTGACGGGACCAGGGAGCAAGGCGGATCCCTGGACGTGTACAATGTACAGACGAACGAGTGGACCAGTCTCACGTATGCATCGGATGGAATCTCCGGGCCTAGTCCGCGAAGCGTGGGCTGCTTGCTCGCCACGATGATCGGTGGGAGGCAGTCACTGGTAACAATGTTTGGCGAGCATGATCCCAGTAGCCTGGGACACCAGGGTGCCGGAAAGATGCTGGCGGATATATGGGCATTTGATCTCCAATCTCAGCGGTGGGCACAGGTGGATATTGCGGAGCCAAACAGACCTCCGGCGCGTGGCTGGTTTGATGCGGACGTCATCGGCCCTGAAGCAGATGCCAATCCTGGAAGCATAGTAATTCACGGTGGACTTGCTGAGACAAATGAGCGGTTGGATGATGTGTGGCGACTAGATTTTGTCTAGTCCTGCTGTTATCTGGCAATGATATCTTCTCTTGGACTCATATGTAAGTTTTTGAGTGTGGCGGCATGTCTGGACGTATGACTAAATAGGCTAGTAGGAGAACAACAGTGATTGATTGGAGGGCTTCAGTATGTGACATGAGAACTCAAATAGTAGGCCATCCGAATCATCGCACGAAGATACCTTGACAGTATCCCCCAAATGAAAAAGCCTTACAACAAGGTGCCGGCTGCAACGGGCTCGGTCAGATAAGTAGAAAGCACAGTTCTTGGCCCATCAAGCTTGACTTTGTAATATTTCGGCGAACGATCTATGTCAAAGGACAACACTTGTCGCTTCCCTTCTTATATCTTGCAGCTTCACGGTGCCGATCTCTAGGTACATGATATCTGAAAGCTCCTGTAAAAGTTCCCCTCCTTCCCGCTCAACCGGCCTCCTCCTGCTGCAACGATACAGGCAGGGGTAGCCAACTTCTCAAACTCTCTAAAAGCACCAGTACAATTCTCCTCGGCAAAAAGATATGGAGCACAGTTATCTGCCAGCCTGGTCACCCACATATCATAGCTCTCTTTCACAGACACACAATTACCAGGCAGTGTCGTTTGGCCGGTGACAGTCTCGGCAGTAATATTACTGCATGCCGGTGCATCAGGTCCACTTTTTGCAATAGCATAGGCCGTGCTATTGAAAATGCGCCCTAGGTCACTGATGAAGAGCGAAGACTTGAAGTCTTCAAGCTCGCGTGTCTTTTTCATTGCGATCGAGGCGACGATGAGAGCCACTACAGCGCAGAGCGACAGCAGAATGATGAGAATGCTGAGAAGCAGGGTCTTCGTCTTTGACATCCCAGACTTTTGCTTGGATGAGGCGGAGATCTGCTCTACAGAAAAGCGTTCAACCATCGCGCAGGGTTGGGTGGCTGGGCTGAGAACAATTCTCTTGTTTCAAATTCTCAGTCTTTCATACACTTTACTTGGGCAGTGTTGTCATTGCTTACCGTCACCGGGGAATCAAAATAATTTGCGGCGCTTTATTTGATTTTAGTTCACGTTTTCGCGGTCGTTGGGTATTCCAGTACAAAATCAAAGTCTCAGAATATTGATGAAGTGGTTGCTGGTATATCAGTCAATCACCCTCGGACAAGTGGGTCGAACATATATCCTTCTCATGCTAGCTATAGATCGCCTTACGGGACATGATAAAGCTTGATAGAAATTAAATGGCAACCCCACAGAATACCTCACACATGATGACCTGTTAGCTTCTGGCCCAAGGAACAAGGCAACCAATGGTAGAGAGCATGCTGGGATTCTCAACTCAGGCTAATTGTTAGGCTATATTATTTTGAAACCTACCCTATCATAGAAGAAAGACGCTTTGTCAAACTACCTCACCACAAAACGCTCTGGCGCTAATGTAGGGGTCCAAGGGTTCCAGCGATAGGAAGACACCTGCCCAGTAGACATGCACCTTGGCAGCTCCGCGCTCATGCATAGACCAAGTGCTAGGCAAACTCTTCATTTGATTCTGAAGAAGAAGAAAAAAAGCCAGTGATATTTCATACATTGTAGATGAAAAGTTTTCGGCGAACGCATGTCTCTTGGAACTGAATTTAGTGAGTGACCATGTAGCATTGGCGAGGAGATCGCACATGGCGTAGATAAATGCCCGCCTAGGTTACCCTATCATGAACCATAAATGCTTATTGTCTTAGCGGGCTAGTAACTGTGCCCCAGCTGAAAGAAGATACTATGGGTAGAATGATATTACTTGTGGGTCTACCTGCATACTAGGTCAGCAAATTGAATCCACCCGCTTATATGGAGAGACGTCTGAGAACCGGACTCCGTCGGCCATGCTGATGCCCAAGAGATTAGCCAAGGTGGCCCGTCGAGTAGCTGGAAATGAGGGTCAATTAAATCAGCCGATCTGTACATCGTACGACCATTCGGATTTCTTCCCCGGGCAGATGATGTTAAGCAGTACGTCATATAACCATTCAAGGTTGTTTGCTATATTCGTAGAATCAGGTGCAAATGTATCTGCGGCAGGGTAGTCGAAGCTTACTCTCACCTCGATTTTTCTTGGCCAGCAGAGCGAACGGGGGTCTGAGAAAGTATCAGTTCAAAGCTGGGGCAGAGACTCATACTCGTGAATAAGATTAATTGTCTATCCTATATAATTCATCTGCTGGCATATACGCACCGACCGTAATATACAAAAGTGACCAATTCGCCCATTCGGTAAGTTGAGCTGTTCACAGTAACCCCCGCTATATTCCCTCCCGAAAGAAGCATACCAATCACAACAGCAGATCGAGACAGCAACAACATGCAAAGGCCGAAAGAAGGCCTGTGCAACATTCCTCTTCTCCTGACGCTTGGTTACTCTGCTGTATACGTCCTGGGGAGACTTGTTGAGCCGCCATCGGGGCTGGATATTGCATCGACTGTGGTGGTGGGCCTTGTGGTGGATAAGCCGGCCCTTGAGGATATCCATAGGTCGCAGCTGGCTGGGGCACTTGCGGAGGAGGCCCTGCGTAGTAATTTGGCGGAGGGCTAGGCTAGAGGGTGTTAGTCGACTGTTTCACCTCACATAAGCTTTCAAATCTTACCGGAGGCTGGTATCGACATTCATTTTCTGCCATGTTTCCTTGATTCGCGGATATATGACAACCTATACTAGACTCCGAGGGGCTTCCAAGCTCCGGAAAACGTGTATAGCTGCTGATTTGCACTGGAGGGAGAACAATAGTGTGGAGAAAAAAGTAAGGAATCAGTTTATAGGAAACAGGACCCATTCATGTACGCCGTAAACATCGCCGCCGGAAGAATATAACTGCCTGTTTGCACGGAGAAGCCGGAACCCGGTGGATACTCCCGTTCGTCAGGCCTCAATAGCCTACCAATCGCCAACTAGATAACCCTCTTCCGAGGTATACACCATGGTCGAGCTATTATCACCTATACAAAGCCAGATACTGGCATCTATTCGGAGAATGTAATGGTGAAACAGTCCAGCGGATGCATAAAGATGATGATAGTCCGCCACAATCGAGGACCTTACTGGGAATCACGTAGATTGCGCAGCCGACACACCGACAGCGACGTACTATCTATGAATTTCTCTTCAGAGGATATATTTGAAGGCTGGGAGGTACTTCTCAGGAATAATCGGATCAGCCTAATACTATCGTGACAGGAGTGTTTCCTCGTGGCTCGGACATTCACTGGAAGGCTCCCTGGGGTTCATTGCCACGTTGGCCAGCTGCACCGCCTTCTTCAAGACTTTCGGCCGGCTGAATATGGATCTAGGATGCGTTTGAAGGCCGCACCATCAACAGTGTGGTTCCGCAGTTGTTCGGCATGGTATAGACAAGCCTCTGCGGTGTTCGGGATGATGTCAAGTGGCGCAGGCGCCTAAATACTTTGCCGGCCAACTCGGCCCGCCATATCCGATGCCTTATTTAAAGGGAAATATAGATCCACTCGGTATGTCCCGTCTGTCATCTTTTATTCTCAATCACAACATAGACCAGTACTTACTTCAGTACTTACGTTCATTTCATCAAAATATTCCCCGAAGTTATTCCAACTCATAAGGTGTCAAGAATGCCTCCACCTGCCCCTATCGTTCCCGAGGGCTGGAAAGCCGAATTTGATGACCGATATCAGGAATGGTACGCACCTACCGTAATGTTTTCGCTTTTTCCTCTCTCAACTCCTCCCGTACTAATGGCTCTGTTACTGTTTAGGTACTATGTCAATCTTCACACCGGACGCTCGCAATGGGAACGACCAGATCGACCAGCCCAGCCTGATGGCGCGGCTCCCCCTCCCAAGGGTCCCCCGCCCAGTTACGAGGCCACCACGCGTGATCGACAAGATCCAGATCCACGAGCTCGGGATCGTCCAGATGCCTACTACTCCTCCCCGCGGCCTGCGTCGCAGTCCAACTATGCGCCGATACGAGGGGAAGGGCCCTATGGCTACCCACAGCCCCAGTACGGGTACAATGGCTACGGCTATAACCCTGCGTATCCCCCGCAACCTGCCTACCCCTATCAGTATCCCAATGCCTACCAGAACGGCCCAGAGCAAGCCCAACCCCCGCGCAATCAGAAGCAGAATAAAGGCATGGGCAAGATGGGGGCCGCTGCCCTAGGAGTGGGCGGAGGATTGCTGGGAGGATTCCTGCTCGGAGAAGGCATCGAGGCGTTGGAGCATGATTTTGATGGTCCACCACCGCCAGGACCGGACTTTGGCGACTTTGGGGGAGGTTTTGGTCCCTTCTAGTGCTTGATTGTGGTTATTTTGCGACGACGACGACGACGACGACATGATGTCATGTAGGAGAGATGTTTGTGCCAACTCGATACCCAATAGACTTCAATACAGACTCCTTCGGCCACTATATCAATAAATACTGAGCTTAGATCGGTTTAAGATGGGGAAATATGTGCATTCGTAGACTGCGTTCAGGGGTGGAAGATATCATCGGTTGTCGCTTCATATTTCTCTCTCCTCCCTCGGTGGGTTGATAGCGTAATCTAGAACCCCATTAGATAGTCACCGCAGGCAGTGGCAGCCAAGATGCTGTCATACCCAGCAAATATCATCCCATTTGACATGTCGGGAGAGCGGGGCAAAATCCACTTCTCCTCTGGGTATTATTGCCATGGATTGTCCGTGTTTACTAATTAACAGGGGAGGGGAAGGGTATGCTCCCCGCAGTGGGCTAAACCCCGATCCAAGGGACGCCTGGAAGACGGTGCCCGGGTCCACCTGTGAATGGAACTTTAAATAACTTTGAATCTCTCAATATTAATTTCGATAGGAATAGAAAGGTCCCCACACCCCACACGACGCAAAATATCACTGTTCAAGTCCGCTGGATGCCAGCTGGACCGAAAGACCCCACCCGACATGTCTATCATGTTAGGACAAAGGTTGTAAGCACCGATTCTTCATGGTCCTTGGTGACGCATTTTTGAATTGATGGTAGGTTGACCATCCTTATTTCCTGCAGAAGGTCTCAGCGAGTTATCTCATAGTTGAACAAGTTGGACTCCGGTCGGAAAAGACAGCCAGTGAGCGGAGGATTACCACCAACCATCACTGTTTAGTACTTAGTAGACTTAGGGTGGCAAGAATCGGAACACAACTACAACCACTCAGTTTACCTCTTCGACGCCTGGGTATCCCCAGTGGCAGACCAGTCAGTTGTAAGTGATCCTCGTATTGTGATTGCTGGTATTCCCGGACATGACCTGCACCTTGACTGGCATTTACGGGTCTCGGTTTCCGGCCCTCCTTGGCTTGTCTGGCCCCGATCGATACACGATGATCTGACCGACACCCCGGCTTGCTGGTGCTGGTGCATCTTTCGAGGATTAGCAGACCAAGAGACTTACAATTATACATTGATTCCATTTTATGCTCTTCAAGTCTACAAAGTTCTCACCATTTGGGACAACCGATCAGCCTTGACCTCAGTCTCCCTCAACTGGCGGTGTCAACCAAGCAGAGATCTGCTGTGCAACTTTTGAACCAGTTGGCGGGTTTGCCGATCTCTGCGGAAATTCCCCGCGTCTTTCGTAAGCCGCGTGAGTAGCGACGAACTAGTCGAGTTAACTAGTTTACTGGGATTTTTGTTAGTGAATAATTATTTTGTTGGCTATACCTTTCTTTCCCTTCACTGGTTCTTCGGGTGGCACCAAAGGTGGCACCAATTACGCCTTCCTTCTTCAATTTTCTCCTTCCCTTCGTCAGCTACTATCCTCGGACGACTACTTCTTCGACGGTCTTTCCTCAACCCTTCGCGCCATCGCTCCCAATGGCGAACATGGGGGCAATGGAGTCCAACATGTCTAGCGCGCAGGAGAAGGACCCATCCTCCACCACGGCACTCCACGAACCACCACCCAACGATGAGGCTCGCCCCGCGGTCTTTTCTTCCACAGTCCAGGAGATCCTCTTTGTCGCCGTGGCCACCATGGCCATTGCCATGTCCTCGCTCCTGACCGGCAGTGTCACCGTCCTCACCTCGCAAGTGCAGACGGATCTGGACATGACCACCGCTGAACTCACCTGGCTGGCCGGTTCCTCCTCGTGCGCCATCCCTCATTTCCTCCCCTATGTCCCTTCGCCTGTCCGTGTATCTAATGATGAGCAATCTCTAGGCTCGCCTGTGGCTCCTTTCTTCTCTGCTTCGGCCGCCTGGCAGACCTGTTTGGCCGCAAGACCCTCTTTCTCGGCAGCCTCATCTTCTATGCTGTGTTCGCTCTGGGTGCCGGATTTTCCCAGAAGCCCCTGCAACTGGACGTGTTGAACGGCGTGATGGGCCTGATGTCAGCTGCCTCGATCCCGCCGGCGCAGGGGATGCTGGCCAACCTCTACCCGCGCCCGTCCAAGCGCAAGAATCGGGTGTTTGCCTGTTTCAGCGCTGGCAATCCTTTGGGCTTCGTATTTGGGACCATCTTCTCGGGTATTGCGACCCAACTGTTTAACTGGCGAGCGAGCTTCTTCTTGTTGGCGATCATTTACGTCGTGGTGGTGGCGGTCGCGATCTGGGTGGTCCCGACGGACCATGGGGCCAAGGAGCCTCTGTCCCTCCTCGCTCTGAAGAAATTCGACGTTGTCGGGACCATTTTGACGATCGCCGGAATTGGCATGTTTTCGGGCGCCTTGAGGTGCGTTGCCTGAATCTCCTCATCATAACCTCCCTCATCTTTCACGACTGACAGTGAGATCGGTTATAGTCTTGGCTCGGATGCTCCTTCGGGGTGGAAGACACCATACGTGCTCGTACTGCTCATCCTGGGCGCGCTGTTTATAATCGGCTTCGTATTCTGGGAGCGATGGTATGAATACCCCCTGGTGCCCATGTTCATCTGGCGCGACCGGGACTTCTCCTTGGTCATCACGATTCTGCTGCTGGGCTTTCTCGCCTTTCCAATCATGACCTTCTGGATCTCGTTGTTTTTGCAGGAACTCCGGCACTACTCCGCCCTTATGGTGGCCGTACACCTGCTCCCCATGGCGATCGGCGGCATCCTGGTCAACATTGTGGCGGGGCTCATCATGCATCGGGTGTCCAACACGTTGCTCATGACGATCGGGGCCACGGCGTACACGGGAGCCTTTCTGCTCATGGGACTGCAGCACTCGAGCAGCAGCTACTGGGCATTTATCTTCCCCGGGTTGCTGCTGGCGGTGGTGGGGGCGGATTTTCAGTTCTGCGTCGCAAACATGTATGTAATGAGCGCGCTGCCAGACGACCAGCAGAGCATTGCCGGCGGCATCTTGCAGACCGTGACCAAGCTGTGCGTGACGATCGGGATGGGCATCAGCACGGCCATCTTCGATGCCGTCGAGGCGGGCGGGCCCACCAGCCATGGGTACTTTGCCGGGGATGCAATCGCCCCGTACAGTGCCACCTTGCTCTACTGTGCTGGAATATCGGCCATCAGTATTCCCTTGTGTGCCTTTTTACGGATCGGAAGACAGGGACATGGCGGGAATGACAAGGCGCGGGCGGCGGTGGGGAAGCGAAGCAGTTGGTGTGGACGACGCAGGACCAAGCAGGAAGCGATCGAGGATGAACCTATGGGTTCGACAGTATAGGCAAAAGATGGGTGGTACCTCATGTGCCTTGTATACCGTGTAAATCGAAAATTGAGATCAATGGGCCACATGGTTGTTGTAAACATCCTACTAGGATTTCCGATAAGTACCAACTATCCCCGAGGATGTGCTGCAGGAGGGCAGTGACGTCACAGCCGAAGGGGGACTGGTCCTGATGGAGGGTGAAACTATGCGATGAGAAGCAGGAGATAAAGAGGTACCAGATACCAAATGGAGAGAAGTTAGAGTTCTACAGCGACGATTGTCAGTTGGTTGTGTCAGTCCATCCGTCAGGGCAACGCTGGATTCCCCCCGCCCTATACGTCATTGCTTCCCTACTCTTCCTCCCCTCCCAAATGTGCTATCTGTCTGTCCTCGAAATCCCCCTTACGCAATCTCTTGCTTCCTCTTTCGAGTTGTCTTGGCCATTTCATTCCATTTATTCCATCTTAACTTCCCATCTCCCTGACCTGCTGGCTCTCGTTTCGCCATCTCCAACATCTCCGCCATGTCTCTCAGCTCCGCGACCGGCAACCTGGCTGGCCGTCCGCCCAAGTTGACCAACGACCTCAAATCCACCGTCCAGCAAACCCAGGATACCACCACGCAAACCGCCACTCAGTTGTCCGACTCAGTCCTCCCCGGTGAATTTCCTGGCGATTCGGATCACATCCATGATGCGCAGCGCGACGACACCAACAACGGACCCGTGCTGGCGCCTCTCCAGCAGTGGTGTCGCCAGTCCCTCCCCCGTCTACTCGATCGCTTCGAGGCTTATCTCGCCGGACTGCTTTCCTGGATCCTACCAGCACCACGCCAGGCCTGGCTGTACGATGAGGCCGCGCGCCGTCCCGCCAGCACCACCTTTCTCATCTGCCAGGCCATCTGCTGTGGTGTGCCCTTACTCGTCTTTCTCGCGGGGGTCTTTGTCTTCGCTGCGGTCGCCATTCTTCTCTGGGCGATACTGTCAGTTCTCATCCTGGGGCCGGTGCTCCTGGTGGCCAGTATGATGGGCGTGTCGCTGTGGGGTTGGGGTTGGTTGCTGTATGGCCTCGTCAAGTGGATCGATGAGAAATACCTGGGCGGGTTGATCTCTCGGTTCTGGCTGTCGCGTATGCCATCGCCGGAGGGTCAGGATCAGGAATCGGCAGAAGGACAGGATGGAACCCAGGAGAAGAAAGCACAGTAAGGTGATAATGATGCTGAATACTCTTTCATTCCGTTTGATGATTCATGATAATCTTAATGCTCGAATTTGTCAGTTCTTCTTGTATCTATAGTCGGTTACTTCACTATTCAGATTGTATATATATTTTGAAGCAGTAGCTCGTTCGGCATGTCCTTGAAGTGTACATTCGTAGCCGTTGACTGCATCAAATAGTTGGTAGTATATGCGATATGATTGTAGTAAATAAACATTTGAGTCCTTGACTAGTACTAAGTAAGTGAGCAGTACTACTATCGAGGTTTTATAATGGATGTTAGTAATGAGTTGTTCCTGTCTAGCTCAGAATCTCCGAAGCAATTCCGCTGACACACACAATCTCGGCTACTGCGGTCAAATTTATATTCTTTCTTATTTTCTAGCCTGAGGTGACAAGAGTCTGGAATTATGGCTCACCGGCAAGGCCCAGCACGCCCCCTCTTTTGTTTTCTTTTTCTTCTATCCTTTCACACACTAACTTCCACACTACAAAGTAGTTCAGCCCTCTCTTGATATTCACTGGATACTAGCTGTGCACCTTACGTACCGACGCACGGCAAGTGGGTCATCCAACAGGGTCCAACAAGATTTTTTTTTTCCTGCTTCTTTCACGGCCCCCTCGTCTTCTTTACAGCCTCTACGTTGGTTCTTCTTCATCGTAAGTGTTGGAATTAGGTGTTGCAAGCGGTGATGGACATACCGGTGATATGATACCAGCATTTTGGGGAAAGGAGCAATGGGAAAAGAAGTAAGTGGGGATCGTCCTCTCCTCTCCTCCATCTTGGCTCGGGGATCGACCATGGTTGGTTAGTCATTGGCCAGTAATCAACCATTCTTCTCCTTCTCCTCCCCGCGGAGATTGATTGAATGGCCTGAGCAGAGAAGAATGCTTAACTCCATCTACTCGGCCAACCAGAGCATCGGACATTATCGGAACTGGGTCTGCTCTACTATCTTTTTTATCTGATGATAATCGGTTTCGCGGCCGGTGCCGGGGCCTGTTGTAGGGCTCCCGCCAAAGCTTCCCCTCAACTTAAATTTCTGCCCTGTCCCTACCCTCCAGGAACACCGATTTGATCCCTCCGCAAAGTCAATCTGCAAGAATACCCTCGATGCGCGAAAGCACGTCCGACAAGAGGGCGGCAGAAACGGTGGTGGCCGACCAGGAGGTGGAAAATGGTTCGCCGGCAGCCTACCGTCCCACGCGGTGGCAGAGCAATTTGACCATCCTGAGCTGCGTGAGTCAAAGCCGCTGAACTTTCATTTTCCTCTCTTTTTCGGAGAACGCGTCGCTAACCAGTTTCTCTGACAGTATATCGCCAATTTCAGCGATGGCTTTCAAAACCAATTGGCCAACCCCACTAATGTCATCTTCAAGAAGCTGCTGGGCAAATCCGGCTACCCATCGGAGATGCAGACCCGCATCAGCAATTCCCTACTCATCGGTGCTATCCTGGGAGTGGTTGTGCTGGGATACGTCTCCGACATGGCCTCCCGACGCACCGGTCTCCTCTTCACCTCGGGCCTGGTCACCATCTCCACGCTGATGGCCACCCTGGCCCTGCAGGTGCACCCTTCCCACAACATGCTTTGGTACTTTGTTATTGTCCGGGGCATCTGTGGATTTGGAGTGGGTGGGGAATACCCTCCCAGTGCTGCGGCCGGTCTGGAAGAATCTGACGATGTATGTTTTCCATCCCTTTCTCCCCCTACCAGCGCACTAGGAAGTAGATCGTGATGAAGAACTTCAAGATTGTGCAGCTAAACACAATGTTTGTATGCAGTTCAAGCGCCGCTACCGAGGCCCCGTCTTCGTCTCCTTCACCACGCTGATGGCCACCACCGCCTCTCCCATTTTGATGATCATCTACCTGATCTGCCTCAAGGCCACCGACAACAACCTGCCCGTCACCTTTCATGCCATCTACAGCATTGCCACCATCTTGCCCGCCATCATCATGGTCTTGCGATCTTTCATGACCGACTCGACCTTGTACCACCATTCCAACTTCAAGCGCCAGCGGAAGCCCGCCCGATTCTACTGGGTACTGGTGCGCCGCTACTGGAAGCGCCTCTTCACCACCTCGCTGGCCTTCTTCCTCTACGACTTTATCAACTTCCCCAACAGCATCATGTCGAGCACCATCATCTCCTCGCTCGTCAAGGATGGCAACATCCAGACCACCGCCATCTGGCAAGTCATCCTGGCTGCGCTGCCCGTCCCCGGCGTCATTGTCGGCGCCTGGCTGACCAATTCGATCGGACGCCGGTACACCGGAATGGCCGGATTCGCGGGCTACGTGGTCCTGGGCTTCATCATCGGTGGCACCTACGCTAAGCTCTCTCAGCATATTGCGGCCTTTGTGGTGCTCTACGGACTGCTGCAAGCTTTTGGACACATGGGGCCGGGCGCTACGATCGGCCTCATCTCCACCGAATCCTTCCCCACCGCCATGCGCGGCATGGGATACAGTGTGGCTACGGCTTTCGGTCGCACGGGAGCGGCGGTGGGCACGCAGTGCTTTACCCCCTTGCAGGATGCCGCGGGAGATAGCGCCACATTTTACCTTCTCGGTGGCGTGGCGATTCTGGGCATGATTGTGTACTGGTTTCTGCCAGAAAGCGGGAAGTTGGATCTGGAGAAGGAGGATCGCGAGCTGGAAGAGTATCTGGCTGGGCATGGGTTCGTGATGGAGAAGAAATACTAATCTATACTTGCTAGTATATGTCTGTATAGACAGCATTTATATCTGAAATGTGAAATGACAACGATCATGACAGCGCTATGGACTTCACCTATCCTAGCTTGGATGGATTAACCTCCTATGTTCCTTTAGAAAGTGATTCCATGCCAATCTTTCTCCCAGCCAGACCCAGGTGGATAGCTGTGTTCTCAGAGTCCGCTCGTCCAGGAAGATCTGCTGGGCGCCTCCTTTCCATGCCCATATCCATCGTAGCCACTACATGCTCAGCCCATTTTCGGTAGGGTGAAAGGTATCATCGGAGGTCAACTGACGGCGCTTGTTGATGGTCCTTCGGATTTGCAGGCTAGGTAGGGCATGTAACACCCCAGCCCAGTTGATTGTCAGCAGTAGAAGATGGCCGCGCAACATGACTGAGGGAATTGGCTAGGATTAAGCTGGTCCCTGTGCGATCTCACCAGCTCTTTTCCTCCTCCTTCAACTTTGCGCTACCGGTACAACGCATTGTGAGAGGGATTTGTGACGTAGTGCCGGTAACACGTTTCGCATGCGACACAATGAGATTCTGTCATTTATGATTCGATATAACCTCGGAGGTGCCTGATCGCCACTGTGCAGCTAAGGAGCAATCAGATATTCAGCTAAGCTACAAGCCGAAGATGGGATTGGGTGCCACTATTCAGCGACTGCGTGCAGTACCATATTTTATCTAACCACGTGCCGCATTTCTTCGATTGAGTTCCGGCGATAATTCACCGGTCGGACCGTCGGTTACTTTCTTCACGAATGAGCAGAGTGTGAAGTATTGGTCATGGTGAGATGTGACCAAGGAGACTGCCGACACTTATTGGTCACTGCCATCTCAGTCACTCCGAGCCTTTCCGAAAATGGTGCGTGCAATCGAGAGAACATTATGACAAAACAAGTTCATTCCAGAAGACCCAATAAATGTTCTGCTGAGAGTGGGGAGTTCTCTGAAGAACCCGATGGATGCAATTCACGCCATTCCAGCCCGCAGCCGCCATGATGGTGACATGCGACCGGGACGATCGAAATAGTTTAGTAGCGAACAGGATAGGTCAAGACGGGTTGACACACGACCCACGCGGGGAGACGATAATCCAGACAGAATACATTGTAGATAAACTAGATAAACTAACGCGATAGCTATACGATCCAGCCAGCAATCAAAGCAATGAAAAGGTTCTCCCTCGCCATTTTGGGGCTTATCACGCCATATCCACTTCCGCCTCGCCTGCCAATCAAACCTTCGATATCCTCAAACCATCCTTACCAGATTCTTCTCTCTTGTCTCTCTCACTCTCTCTTGACCCTTTGTTTACCTGATAAATTAAATACTTCTTCTTCTGCTGCAGGGCTCGTCGATCCTTGCATTCCGATCGAGTCAACTTCCCACTAGAATCTGCTAGCTGGTTTCCAGCAGTTCTCACCCTGCAACCATGACGGCTCCTCCGATGTATCGCCAGGAGAAGCTGGAACAGGCGCCCACTGATGTGGCCGAGCTGACATCCGATGAGTCCACTTCCACCGAGATCTGGAACGCGTTGGTGACCGAAGGTAAGCTGCAACTCAATTCGACATCTTTGGGAAGGCCGAAACTAACTCGCTGGGATGGCGGGATATAGACCATCAACATGAGATTCAACTCCGAACCATGTCCTGGCAAAAGGCCGCCTGGTTGCTTGCCGGAGACCAAGTTTGTCTGGCTATCATGGCTCAATCCTGGTCACTCTCGTAAGTCAACAGAGATTTTCATCTATTGGCCCGCGAACTGACCATCATCATTGGGTCCCCTCAGCGTACTGGGATGGGTACCCGGCATCATTACCATGGTTGTGTCCGGCGCTCTCTTCTGGGTCACTTCCCTCACCATGCACAAGTACATCATGAAGCACCCGCAAATCAAGAACATTTGTAGGAACTCTGCGCTCTCTCTCTTCATCTCTCTCCTGTCCCCCTGTGATGGATTATTAAGGCTGACTCGAGTTTGTCTTCCCCCGGAACAGGTGACTTTGGCTACTATGTCTTCGGCAAAAGCCAAACGGCATACATCTTTTCCGGCTTCATGCTGCTGGCTAACAACATCCTGCTGATTGGTTTCCATATCCTGACTGGAGCCAAGGTGCTGGATACTTTGTCTGATCACTCTCTGTGTACCGTGACCTTCTCCGCGATCGTGATGGTCATGGGCATCGTCCTGTCCGCTCCGCGAACCCTGCGTCATGTTTCCTTCATGTCCATGTTCTCGGGTAAGTTATAATCCACTCCACTGCAATGTCTGCGCCCTGTATTTCGCTAACAATGTCAGCGGCCTGCATGGCCATTGCCATCCTGTTGTTCCTTATTTTCGCGGGCATTGAGAAGGCACCCCTGGATTATCCGACCGATGGACCTGTGCGCACGTACGCATTCCCCTTGCCTGGCACCAGCTGGGTGGATTGCATGAATGCCGTCTTGAACATCACTTTCCTCTGGGTGCCCCAGATTCTCTTCCCCACCTTCATCGCCGAGATGGAGCATCCGGAGGACTTCCCCAAGTCACTGGCGGTCCTGGCTACCATTTCCACCATCCTCTTCATCGTGCCGCCCGCCATCGGCTTTCGCTATCTGGGCCAATACGCCACTGCACCC